TGTGAACCTTCACGCACTGTCGGAAAAATCGGAAAATTTAGTTTACAACTGTCAAAGTTCGGGTAAACGCCGATTTACACGCCTGATAACAGATTTGCGATTCAGAAGACGTGCTGACTGAGTCGGCATAAGTGATATAACTAAGCGCAGAAAGATGGCGGATTTAGAAATGTTGAAGTGCGACTATTTCGTTCTCACATGTAACTTGTAATACAATTAAATCCAGGAACTATTGATTGCTTGACACATATCGTGACTTTTGATTCCATTTTAGCAATAAACACACCATGATGTTATCTTTTGTACTGTTCATGATATTTCACGACCGTGAACAAACAGAATTTTGAAGCTCGACGCATCGACTGAGAGAATTCCGAGCATCCGAATGGCACCTGAACGCAGCGTGAGTCTTCAGTTGGACTGGTCGGGTTAGCGATAGTTGTTAGACTGGCTGACAGACACAACAGTAGCGGCTTAAACTTGTCTGTCATTTCTAACAGTTAGCCCGTTTAGCCCAGCTTTACGCGGTAATCTTAGCGTTGCTTGCCCACAGCAGCTTCAATGAACTCTTGTTATTTATTGTGGAACTAAAAGCTGGTGCTTTAGTAAACCCTCGACAGTCGTCTCCACCTGTTATTCGCTACATCGAGGAGCTAAAGTGAGCTAACATCAGCGGTACAGTTTGCTAGCTTTCATTAGCTAATTGTGCAAGTTTCTCCCCCTGCTGCGCATTATAGCAAGGTAAGCGCATTTTTATTGATATTAACTTCGTAGTTATCGCAGTTTTAATGACTTAACATGTTCACTTGTTGTCCATTAGTTGTTGTTGTCTTCTGTGGTAAACTTGAATGGTTGTTTTCAGAACAATAAACGGGTAAACACATTCCGTTATCAGCGCATGTTAATGATTTAATCTTGTTTTTAAATTGATATATTTCAAGAAATAAGTTGATTCCATAAACATCTGTTCATGCATCTGTTCCCAAAAATTAACACAAAATGAATAAATTCAAGATGCACCATTTTCTAAATTAATTTCCAGTCTTATTTTAGTAAAAACAACGTCTTCCTTTCCCTTCAGTTTAATTATTTATGTGTTTTTGTCAGAGCAATTCAGCATAGAATACAAATGTAACACCAGTAAATGCACAATGCAAATATGAGACAAGTGCTCATGGGTTACAATATGCACATTTTTTAACACTTAAACATAAACTTAGAAGACATACATCTCCAAACAGTCTTTACCTAGAATTTTACATTTAAACCAGAAGATTTAACACTTAAAAAGAAGGATTATGAATGGATATAAAGATTAAGAGCAATACAATGAATTAAGGCAACATACAAAAGGTAGCATCACATAAAAGTGAGTTTTAAGAAGTAATTTTAAAGATGTCTCTGAGTCTGAACGCCTTATCTCCTCAGGCAGCTGGTAAACTGTAGGTGTTAGGATTCAGTATTTTGACACTCCTCCAGATAATCAGCGATTCCTAACATATCTCAGCAATCTGACAGTAGTGGTACTTGTGCAACGCTGCAGTGAGAGAAACTCTTGACAGTAGCAAAGAGGTTAAAGTGTGCTGCACTCACAGACACAGTTTCATCTTGGACAGCTCGACTGTCAGCTGATGCTCAAAGTGTTTCACTTGTGCATATCCTAAAGAGGGATAGACATCAAATCAAGTAGTTGTAGTTCAGTGACATCGGTAAAGAAGTATTTATGTGACACACCTTTATTCAAACTATTTCCAGATGAGATAATAAAGGAATGGGCCTCAGAAGCTTGACTCCAACACCAAATACTGGAGAACGTTTTCCTCTGGTCCATCTGAAAGCAAGACTTAACCATTTGTGATCGGCATACTTTTGTGTGTGTGGCATCAATCCACAATAGATTTTGAGAAATGTGTTTAATTCCCATCACAAACCGACTGCTTGTGCAAAGTGATGCCTTATCAATTACTAATCAAATAAGACTAAAAACTCCAGCTCTTCACATCACATCAGGAGGACTGCTCCGGATATTCTCCTGATCTGGCTATTTTCTGATGCACCTCAAAGCGGGGACTATCCCTGTCAGACAGGAGGGGGGCGGGGTTTTCTCCTGAGGTAAGACCTGACGTAATAAAACGAGGCGGAAATAGCTGAGGAAGTCTGAACTAAAATGTTGAGAAGAACAAACTGGAGAACAGGAAACATAATGCAGCCGTTTAATTCGAGCACAGAGACAGACAGTCTATGCACCCTGCAGCAGTAACAGTATATGAACATCACCAGCCCCTTCTATTGGCGCGAGGTGAATTCTCCAGAGAATTTCCCGCTGTGTTCTCTCATCAGCTCACTCTGACTTGCTGCTTTGAAATACATAAGTGTCTGTCAGGAGGATGAGAAACTCTGGGTGAAGTCCGAGTGAAAAATTCGTCTGAATTTGCGTTCACACATGCAGCTCCTCTGGTAAATATCAGGAGTTTTCTGCAAGCATGAAAACACCATGAGTGACAGAAAACTGCAACCTCAGAATTTATTGTCTGACTATTCTACAGTCAGTTAATTGACCAGCTGCAAATTTTACTGTTATTGATTTATAGATTTTTAATCATCCTTTACTTTGTGAAGAGCTGTTGAAACATACACTGCAATCTTTTGACTTAACTTCAGTGGTAAGATCTCTGTCATGGAGATAACATAATCCCCTGCACGCATCACAACAGTGATTAAGACCTTGTGTTGTGCCATTGATGTGAATGAGTAGTTAGGTGTGTTTGTGTTTTATTACTCACAATAGTCTTTTTTTCAGTTGGCATCAGCTTTGATAAGCTGTCCATGTAATGTTGTTATTACCTCTGTCAGATCTCCTCCCCCCTATAGTTTCATTTATTTCAGCATCAGTATTTTGTCCAATCCTGACTCATCAAGACGGAGTCATTTGGAGATTTCATTTGAACTCCAGCGTTTCTCCCTCCTTATTTCCTGTTTCTTCTTCTCTGTGCTCTTATTTTTACTTGCATGCCGTGACAAGATTACAAAACCGCACGCACATCATGTGACATCATCACAATCGGTGTCAAATCAAAGCTCAGGCAAGTAGAAGTCGTCAATGATTCACAGACTAATATTAACAAGACGTGTGTGCAGATCTGCGTTATCAGCCGTCAGCCTTGCTGGAGAATTCACGACCGAGTCTGATATTATTGTGATGCATTAAGCAGGTTTGTGAATTTACTAGTGGTGGATTAAGAGAAGGGTTTACATAAAATAGTTTTGACATGTGTTGAGTATCATGCTATCAAGAGAAATGTGGAGAAATGAATAATTACTGGCCACATAGCTATTTGAAAGACATGATCAAGATGATGGGGTTTTATTTAAGGTCGTATATTTTAAGGTAAACGTAGTTGACGTCTGTGTTGGAAAAAGAGAGTATTCTGTCAATCAGAGGGCTGCAGAAGTTTGATTATTTTGAACCTCAACTTGTTAATTATACATTTAAAATATTAAGCGTGTTTCTTTATCTGGATTATAAGCTTTTGTAAAAGAGATTAACAAAACCAAAGTTACTGTTGGCACAGATTAGAGTCCCTCCTCCGCTTAGCTCGCTTTTATTTAGTCGTGGAAGGCGAGGTGGAGCATGTCAAGTCGGTGTTGCTCAACAGCTGCTACCCTGATTCATAGCCGTTTGTTTTTAAGGCACTCCAAAAGCCTCTTCAAATATTCAACTAATGAGAATAAAAGGAACAATGAGTCACAAAGTTATGGGAGAAAAAGCAGATTTAAATGCATAATTTCTGCAGCTTGTAGATGGAAAGCTTTAGTGTTGTGCAGTTTTAGAGTCATGCAGTTAGAGCGAGGCACCCTGAACGGCATAACTGGTTGCATCTTTATTAATATGCAAAAAATATGTAGCTGCCTGCATGGATGCAAACGAGTTGCTCCATTGTTTGTCTTTGTAGACACTCTGCTCTGATATTGTTTGTCTTCATAAAACAAGTTGTATTATGTCAGAGCATCAGACACACCACGTTGTTTTTCCTGCTTCAGCAGGAGAGCAAACGGCAAGATTGAGTTTCAAATGAGCAGGCATGAGATACCCTCTGCCTCTCCGTCCTCTTTTTTTAATGTTTATTTTTATTTTGAGAGCGTGTGCCTGACTGATGGTGCCATGGCAACCATCATCAGGTTGGAAAGGTGGCTCAGTGTTCCTGTTCAGCTGAGTCATGCTTTGATCCCACTGTGCTGCTGCACACATCTAAAATATCAACAATGACATGTTTATACATTTTATATTTATTTTTCCATGTTTCTATATCTAATGGTCCAAATCCATACATCACACTTTGATTAGCACTTGAGATGAACAACATGGGGGCTTGTTTTGCTCTGATCATGCATGCACTCAGTGACATTATAGATCATGTGCAGCCATTGATCGTACAAATGCACCAGTGAATGTTGTGCGTAAGCCAACTTGAAGCACATGGATAATGTATGTACATATCTATTTATCCATAATGGCTTAACTGATTGGCTTTGAAAATGCTCTATGGGGAAGGAAATATAGGATACAGGAAATACACACTTTGTGCTTTTCTTAAGAGAAACTAAACTTCTGTTTGTTTACTTGAAAATCCAACAGAACAACTTGTACAAAGACAAACAGAAAGCAAAGGGGAACATATTTAAAACAGAGGTTAAAAGTAAAACACATGTTGTGAGCAACACTTTGTTAGGACCTGACAATATGTTACCATCCTTCTATGAGGGCCACTTCTTTTTATTTGGGGACAGCTGTGGCTCAGTTGGTAGAGTCGGTCGCCTCTCAACTGGAAGGTTGGGCGTTCGATCCCCAGCTCCTGCAGAAACATGTCTGCTGTGTCCTTGGGGAAGACACTTAACCCTGAATTACTTCTGCTGCGGTCGTATTAATGTGTATGAATGGAATTAGTTACTTCTGATGGCAACTTTCCACAGCAGCCTCTACCATCAGTGTGTGATCTGCGGTGTAAAAGTGCTTTGAGTAGTCAGAAGACTAGATAAGCACTATACAAGCTCAAGTCCATTTACCATTCATTTATTTATCCAGGCAATTGATCCATTGAGATCAAGATTTCTTTCACAAGGGTGACCTGGCCAAGAGGGCAGCAGACCTCATAGTAAACATGACATGATTAAGAAATGGTTCACAAACAAGAGCAACAACAACAATTAAAATGTGCAAGAAGTTGTGATATTTGTAATAATGCTCAATATTTAAGTCCTAAAAGCTGTGGACTCTGTTTTAGTTTTGTTCCGTCATCACTTCAGGGTCTTCATACATGTGTGGGGGTGACTGTGTCCACAGAGACTCTGTCCTCTGTCTGAATATTCATGTTTTGGTTGACCCGGGATGTTACTAGGCTTTGGGAGTGGGTGTGTTTGACCCAGCCAATGACAGCATGCGTGTGAGTTTGGGATTGGATAAAATTCAGTGACTGGATGCCTTTCAGAGTGACATATATGGGGGACAAGCATGCAGCTGCATAGGAGAGAAATTGTAATCATAGTTTGGCAAAACGGCAATCGGACGCTTTCGGGCACTCACAGTGCAGCTTGGGATGAGGAGTGATGCTGAGTGAATGCTGCGGGGTCTTTGCTGGATCGGGTGGGCGTGTTCTCGCAACTGCTGCCAGAAGCAGTGGGAGTGCGCCTCTGGTGTCGATGAGCCCAGGAGGAGGGGCCAAATTAAAAGCTGCAACAAACATTGCTACTGACTCCACCTTTAAACTGTATTTGTTCCCCTTCACCAGGATTGTATCTCTCGATTAACTAAAATGCTTTAAAGGACCTTTAACTGTCGTACTTAAAGGAGTTATCAGTCTTATCATGTTTTAATGTTTCATTTTCAAATACAAACCTCATGCATGCAGTGAATCTTGGTGCTGCTGATACTACTATTGGATATCAGCCGTTCTTCTTGCTGACTAATTTGATTTTTACTCTGATTTACAGAAAAGTGAAAACTAATTTAAAGGAATTATTAACTTGTTGTGCAGTATTTACCTGTATGCTTAGTGGGTCTCACAGTAAGCACATCAGAATGATTTGTTTAATATCACACTCCTCCTTTCCTGAATTCTGACCTTAAAAGATGGATGTATTCATGTCAGAGATGGATACCGCCATCACTTAAGAAGCTGAGAAAGTACTTGACCTGTTTGGTATTCCTTTGACACAGACCTTTCAGCCATGAGGTGGGCTTACTATGCCATCGATAACATCTTAACTGGTTGTTTTTTTAAATGCCCTTTCCAAGGTGTCGGTGTTGAATGTTAAACAGTCTGAGTCGTAGCCCCCGGGGTCCAGGATGTGCAGCAGTCTTGTTGAAGGCACAGGGGGGTATGTTGTGTCCTTCTTGGGTTGAGACCGGTCCATTTGAACCCTGCGATCTCTATCGGCTTATTGTTCAGCCCTGGCTGCGTCCCTCTCCACTGATGTCACAGCATTCCAGTTAGCAGATAAATGAGTTAGTGTTAGGGCAGATGAGCAGCATCGTGAATGCTGCTGCTAATAGTGGGTCAAAGGGCAAAAGTATAGCAGAGCAACTGTGCAAACACACTCACCAGAACACCTACGAGCCCTCTCTAACCTTTCATTCACTCTGAGTGTGATGAGGAACATTTCGCTTTAAATAGCCTTTAGATTAATAAAGGACAATGTTTTTTTTAATAGGATATGTTTGTATCTGTCAGTCAGTCAGGATAAATTATTATATTTTGCGTACTCCTTGGCTACTGCATGAGATGGTAAAAGCTTAAAGATTGGATTGTGAGTGCTCTAACTTTGGAGGATGACCTGCTCCTTGTATGTGCCGTTAAGTTTAAGGTAACTGTGAACATATTTGGGTCCATATTGGCAGCCCTAGACTGTAAAAAAACATGGACATAGCCATTGGATTCTGAGGAGGCGTTTTGAAGCTGAATGATAGAGATCGCCATAGTGGAAATGCTATTTCCAAGAAACTGTCAATCAATCTAGTAACGTGCAATCTAGCTTCAGCAGGCTAAAGGGAAACATAAGTGTAAGGGGACTAAATCAGCGCTATAAACATGTCGCTGTGGAATAAAAGTGTTGCTCTAGATGTGCAATATGAAATAGCTTCTTTGGGGCTGAACATCTACAGATTGTGAGGACAAATCCCTGACTACAGCTCTTTTGAATTCAGTACAAAGTTGAACTGTGTATCAGCAGCACGCAATGGGTCAAAAACAAGGAACAGAAAGTGTACAATCGTTCAAGATATATAGGCTTGAATTGTCTGCATGTGGTGAAGAGCAGCATGCGACTAATGACACAGAAGAAATGTCAGCAGAAATCATGTCATAAGTCAATCACCCCTAATCCCATTTATTCACAGCAGCACATCCACAAATATCCAGATATCTTTGTGAACATAAATATGTAAGCCTTGGATCATCACAACCCAAAGTACAGATTAGATGGATCTTAAAGGCGGTACCATATATTAAGCAAAAGAGAGGTTACAAAGCTTTTAAATCATGTTGTTTGTGTCTCATCACCTCTACATTTCTATCTAACTCAGTGGTTCCCTAACTTTTTCTACCGAGCCCCTCCTAGGCAGATGAAATTATTTTCAAGCCTTCCCCCCGATCTCTCACAATACACATCACCATAAATCGACATACTGTGTCAGTCACGCTCTTTGCTAACAAATTCCAAATCGACCCGGAAAGAAGAAGAAATTAAAAGTGAAAATGAATCATGCAGCTTCCAAATTTATGATGAGGTCTGATTCAGGTCTGATTCATTTTCAGCCTTACTTTCCTCTCTCAAAATGTGCCATGCTTTGCTTGCAGTGAAAAACATGTACATTGTTTTTGTTGAGCCTTGCCAGGGACACGCTGTCATAGCTCCAGGACCCCCTTTTAGAGGTTCTGCGCCCCTTATGGGAATCACTGGTCTAACTAATGCAATAGATCCTCTTAAGATCTGCTGATTGACAACTACAGTGAGCTTGATAATGCAACAGTAAGAATAATTTTTGCACTTTTGTCTCATCCTTTACAGGTTGTCAACATGCTGCAGTGAGTAATGTACAGAGTGTTGATATTGACAATGGCCATCTGGGGGGTGCAAGGATGCTCCGATTCACAAAGCTGCCCGACGCAGCCGCCCAACATCACCTCCAAGGACTTCTGTTACTCTGCCCGAATACGCAGCACTGTGCTCCAGGGCTTGCCCTTTGGAGGGGTGCCTACTGTCCTTGCTCTTGATTTTATGTGCTTCTTGGTAAGTTCTTCTGTTGCTCAAGTTTAGTTCTAGGATACCTTCGCTGATAAATACATTTTTGGAGAAACTGGGAAACAGAAAACATAATGCAGCAGTTTCATTACGTGCACTGAGATCATACCAGCTGCGTGCAGACGGCCTGTGGTCGTGCACCGATCGCAGGGAATAAACGTCACCACCCCCTCCCACTCACTCGAGGGGAAAACCTCTGCTGTTTGTGTTCACACATGCAGCTCACCCTTAAAACTTCAGGAGATTTTCAGGAGTTTTGTGCGAGTGTGAAGAAGGTTTCAGTCAGATAAATTGAAAATAAGTTCCTCCAATTCTTAGAAATTTGAGAAAAAAATATATAAATAGCTATACCTTCAACTATACAATTTCTAAATTAAAAAAATGAAAAATCTATCGCCCAGTATTTTTTAACATGTTAGCGGACAATCCAGCTTCCTGGAGTTTACCTGAGACCAAAACCGGTCTTGATTTTTTTTTTTTTATTCCTTTTAGGCTATCATAGTGAGAAATGTTAGATTTTTATTGTGAGATTTTCGATTCACTGACTTGCAGCTTCCCTTAAATGGCTCAAAATGTGTAGTGTCAGTTTATAACTACACAAAATCTCTACAAATGTTGAGGTTATTTCACTACCAGCACTTTCTGCAAAATGTTACTAAATTGATAATGTCCAGTCCTCCACAACGCTGCTTTTTGGGTTTTGGGTTTTCTTGGTGGCCGTCAGCATTGATGTAAAATTTCCAGAAAAGTGTTTTTCAAGGATAAACACCACCGAGCAGTTCTGTGACATTTTGTTCGTCAGGTCTCTGTAATGTAAATAAAGTGACTAGAAGTGTTTACAGCCACTGTTTTTTTTTTCTTTTAGATGCTGCTGGTTGTGTTCTCCTTCTTGAGAAAAGTAGCCTGGGACTATGGGCGCCTGGCTCTGGTGACTGACGCTGACAGGTAATAACATCACATTGCTCAGGCCGTTATTAGGACTTTCTGATTTGTAAGGAGCCATGGAAAGTTTTAATACCTACAGCTACTGTGTGTACATATGAAATTATTTAGATACCTGATCTTTGTAACACTGTTTGACATCTTGATAATTGATCACGATGAGACTGCACTTTTTGCAGGCCCGTGCTTAATGTCTCTGCATGATAAAGAGTCAGACTGAATAAAACAGGGACAAAAATATAATGAAAGCCTTGTTTGATGCATCGTAGGGTATCAACCATATCAACCATCTATTTTGCTTTTAGTTGTTGTTCATTCTGGATGCTAGACACAAAAAAAAAAATGTTGTTTTGTGTTTGAGTAAGTTGGCTTCCAGGCGCAGACGTCACATGAATATTCTCCAGACGGGGAGTCCGAGTCAGCAGTTTCCCTTTCAATGGAAATAATGCCCTCTCACATTGTAACACTTTTAACATGGTTTCCTCACTTTGAGACAAACTGTTGAAATGAGCCAGAAATAAAGGAAGAAAAGCAAACACTTAGTCACTAAAAGCGATTATAATAGCGATTTCCAGGACCACTTAAAGGCCACAGTCTTTGTCTTGGTTCTCCATTATTGCTTGATAATATTATGCTAGATGTATTACTGATCTGATGATGCGAATGGGTGTTGGAGCAGCCAAAGAGGCATAACTGATCCCCCTCCTCTTTTTGAACTCCTTCTAATCGGACTAATGAAGTGAAAGAACGATGAAGATCTGACATTTTTAACAGACTTCATTGACTGTGAACCCTGGAAAATACATGACCCAGTGCTCCATCACCTACATCCCCCTGCTGTGTCTGAGTGATGTTGCAGCTTCACTGTTTTTGCAGCTGCATGTGAGCGGAGAGCGGGGTTGCAACACGGTGGGAGGCTTGGGGGGGGGTTAGGCAGCATGAGACACTTTTGTAACAGACGGGAAGTGTAGTGTGTTGTCTCATGACACAGAGCTGACAGCAGATGAGCGTCTGTCTGTTAAACTCCTGTAACATCTGCAAAGTGAATCTGAAACCTCACTATGAAAATCATTAGTCATCAAATTGCTCACAAGTTGTGAGTTTTATTTTTCTTTTGTTCAACTTTTAGAGGTCATGATTTTGGGGTTTCATGGTGAAACAAATGAAAGGATTTGGGGCTAACGAACAACTTTTTCAGAATCAATCAATCACATTTTTTATAAAGCACATTTAAAAACAGCAACAGCTGACCAAAGTGCTGTACAGGAAACAAGAGAGCAATACAGATTAAAAAAACAAAACAAAAAAGAAATAACAAGGCAAAACTCAGTCATACAAGTTTGCCTACACTCATGCAAACAGAATGCAATGTCACTTCCCCTTTGACTCTGGTGTAGCCAGCAGAATGTTAAACAACCCACAGGCAAGACTTTGGCCTTTTCTGTGCAGCGTTTACATCTGTAACGGCGTCATCTCTTCTGTCCATAACATGCCCTGAAGTAGCAACCTTTCATCTGTTTCTCGTGAGTCTCGGGTCAACAGAAGATAATAGTTACACAGAGGCTTCACTGTGGCTCACTTCGGCTGCATGAGCCTGAAAAAGAAAGTGATCTTCATGTGATTTACTTTGCAATTAACGGGTCTTACGTTTTCAATAACAACATCATGATGCAGATTTGTAAAAAAAAGTCAAGCTTTGTCAACAGAAGAAGAAAACTTTTAAAATGTGTGTTGAGCGGAGGTCGGATCGATAACTTTCTGATGCTTTTCAGATAGTCGGGGAATCTAAACGCTGATTGGCTTTTGAGACACAACGTCAAAAAGATCTGTGGCTCGAGTTTAATGTTTGATGTGTTTTATTGTTAGCTCCACTTTGATTCAGATATCAGTTTACAGAGATAAATAAATCATGGTCAGATTACGTGATGCGAGCTGGTGTGTCACTCTCAGGGATTGCGTTTCGCCTGCTTTTGCTTTCCATAGAGATTGTTTCTCCTGCATACAAAAAAAGCCTACTGAAATGTAAAACACTTCCCATGCAGATAATTCAAACCCCCCCAGTATGTAGAATCTGTACAAAGATATTACCTCATAACAAAAAGTAGCAAATCCTTCAATTTTAGAAACTTGAACCAGCTGATGTTTGAAGTTTTTCTGGAAATATCTCCCCCAAAAATAAAAAGGGATTATCAAAATAATTGGATGTTTCTTTCTTTTGATGGATTAAATGTTGCAGCTAAAAGGGTTAATATACTATACATTTAAAATGGCTGTGCAAAGCGAAAGTAAAAGCAGCCGTCACAGATATGACTGTTGTAATAAACTCCCCTGCTTTTCTGAACCAGCACACTTAAAGGGCCAACAGGAACATTTTTATCTCAACTAAGCTGAATAGCTTTGTTTTGCTTCTCCTTTCACCAGAAGAATGGATCAGCGGTACAGTCGCCTGGATGATCGGGAATAGTAGGTCCTCCCCTCTCTCCGTATTGTACACTCACTAACTTTTTCTTTTCTCTCCACACACCCCCCGTCTCTGTAATTGACATAACTCATAACTCTTATCCTCTCTGCCCAGGCCGCTGTGGGTTTTCAGCCTGTTTTCACTCCTGATGGTTCTGTGTTTTTTCCTCCTCCTCCTCCTCCTCCAGGCGTTTCCCAGTACCAGGCTCCTAATCGTTCTCCCCCCTTCTGTACCGCTCATATGTCTGCTGTTGGGTGTCTCTGTCCTCTGTCACTGTCCTAATCAGATCTGTGTGTACGCTAATCTGTGTATTGACCTCTTTATCAAGCATGGACTTCTTCTCTGTGAGTGCATCGCATGAGCTGGGCGGACAGGATCCTTACAGGGAGAGGTAATTCTCCCCTGATGGTTGTTCATAGACAGGCCCTAACATGGTGCTCCCACAGTTTCCTGTCTACTAGTGCTGAGATGAGCCGTACCTACTCCTTACAGGAATGTGAGAGGAGCACTGACGGTGGATTACAGCCGCAGGCTCTCTCCTCATTCCATTAGAAGTCTCTTAGATCCCTTGGTGACGTCATACTTTTATAAAGTATCAAGCACTGAATCAATGTTGGAATTCCTCAGAGTCTGGGTCCTCCTTAGATTTTCTTTCTAATTATGTGTAAAGCGACCTGACATGACCTGACACCTTATGTCATACTGTCTTTAAAATAAGACCATAAAGCCGTACTCAAGGAGTACCTGAGGCTTTGCTGGATGCGCTCCATAAATCAGCCTATCAATGATTGCTGGTTTGCCGTTTCCTCTGTGATTGTTCTTCTCTGTAGAGCTTAGCCTCCTAACTTCTTCATCTCAGCCTTTCCTCTGACAGTGATGGTGTTTTTCAACCTGTGTAAAGTAGGCTTACGCTGCATGAAATGTGGCTGCAGAGATTTTCCCATGTGGTTGAATGGTTAACCCAACACAAATCATGTGTCAAGCCCACACAGGGTAAACAGGGGTGAATCTCTTCAGTCTCATTTCCGGGGCGTATGTTTGTTTTGTGGTGTGAACTTGTCCAAACCGATGGTAATCCCCGAGTCATCAGGAACTAACAGCCCTTCAGGTTATGTGTTGATGTTTGGTATTTTTGTTTTTTCTGTGCAGCGTGGCCTCTGCTTTGACATCAGATACACCAGAACGCTACGAGCGGCTTACCTCAATTTCCAGCTCAGTAGACATCGACCAGAGAGATACAGTAAGTCTGCCACTGTGAAAACATCAAATACATTGTCTTTTCATCTATTGTATAAAGTTCCAGGCATATTGTTGCTGTTAAAACACTTCCTTTATTTTTCAAGGGCTTCTGCTCCTGGCTGACTGCCATCTTCCGCATCAAGTGAGTCAACCTACTCGCAGCACTTTGAAAACAAAAGAATCCGTGGAACCCTTGTTGTTACTATTTACTCATTGTTGTTTTTAATTGCTCTGTTGACTTTGTCGCTGTGTCATCGTGCAGGGATGAAGAGATAAGGGAGAAGTGTGGCGAGGATGCGGTACACTACTTGTCCTTTCAGCGACACATCATTGGCCTGCTGGTCGTGGTCGGTGTGCTCTCTGTGGGCATCGTCCTTCCTGTTAACTTCTCAGGAAACCTACTTGGTGAGTATTTTGGAAATGACCACCGGAGGGTCCTTGAAAGTTGAGAAAAGTATGTGTTATCTTTTAAAATTCTAATGATAGATGCTAAATGGACTTGAACTTGTTTAGCGCCTTTCTAGTCTCCAGACTACTCAAAACGCTTTTACACCGTAGGTCACACCTACACATTCATAACTGATGGTAGAGGCTGCTGTGTAAAGTGACCATCAGACATAACTAATCCCATTCATACACATTCATATGCCGACAACTGACAGCGGGAGCAAATCAGGGTTAAGCTAGCTAGCAGCTAGCCCCCTGAATTATAGACATCTATAATACCTGTATTATGTGTGAGTGAAGTTTGAAGTCTTCTTTCTTGTTCCTTTGCAGAAAATAACGCCTATAGTTTTGGGCGAACCACTATAGCAAATCTGAATGCAGAGTGAGTACTTCTTCTTTTAGTTGGTCACAACACACTAAACACTTCATTGAAGCTACACGATGAATCTTATCCTTTCTGCTGCTCTCACTGAATCCCTTATTTCCCTTTGTTTCCTCAGCAATACTCTACTGTGGCTGCACACCATCTTTGCATTTCTCTACCTGTTACTGACGGTGTACAGCATGCGACGGCACACTTCCAAGATGCACTACAAGGAGGATGACCTGGTGGGTGGCACGGCTTGAGAAAATGACTGATTAACACACTCCTTACATGCGGTTGTTCCTAATTCTTCTGTCTTCATTTCCATGCAGGTGAAACGCACTTTATTCGTCAATGGAATCTCCAAATATGCCGAGGAGACTGAGATAAAGCAGCACTTTGAGTAAGTCAGGATCAGTCATATCGTCACTCTACAGTTAGTATCTGAGCACGCTTCAATCCATCCGCTCTATTGGAACAGCAGTTAACTAGTTAGTGACTGTATTTAGGCGTATGAGAGCCGTGCTCTTTCCTGTTAAAAAAGCAGCTCTGCATACGGCCTGAATCAGACAATGACAGGCCTATATGTGAAATTATCCATAATCGAAGCCAGATGAGCGAGATCATGCAAGTCATGTGTCAGGATGGTCAAAGACTGAGGAGTGGGTGTTTGCCTCACTTCCCACTTATGCAAACAGAGCTAACCAGAATCTTATTTTTTGCTCCTGTGTTGTAAAAATAGATTCTGTGTTAAAGTACCAAAAATAAGAAAGAAACATCAGGAGTAAAAGAATTCATGAACATCTGTTACTTTGTATTTTTAACCTTTATTTTGACTTACAAATGAAATTATAATCAGTGTGTTTACAATGGAATTGAATATCCCCTTATTCAGGTTTTAATCATATTTGAGATTTGCTGTTTACATGCACTCTTGATAAATGCGAGTATCCCAGTTTCTGATCTTTTTTGAGAAGGCACCTTTGATGTTTATTTTTTACAGCACAAACTGAAACAAACTATGAGCAGAAGCTGGCGTTCTCACAGTGTGTCGGGTAATGTTTAGGAACACAAGGTGTGCTGTGGGAGGGACGAATTGCAGATAAAAACAACAGTGGAGCAGCTTACCTCCGTTTGGTAGTGGAGGGGTTTCTGAGGCGGTTACAGGAACACTTGAGTGGGAGAGGTTAAGGTGGAAAGGTAAGGAAAAAAGAGTGGGAAAACAGCGTTTCAGCCTTATGGCGTTTAGAGTGTTACAATCTGAGTCAACTTTAAAATCAGAGAAGAATAAGACCACTGCATGATGCTTTCTCCAATTGAAACTTGAATCGAAATACGAAACTCAGTTTATTCGTCGCTCCAGAAGTAGAACACTCTCGTTGCAGCCGCCATGTTTGTTTTGCTGATAGGTCACTTGGCTGAGGCGGCGCTTTCCCAGGTAGTCGGCAAAAAAACGTGGTAAGGCGTATACATGTACGGTCTCTCGTTTTCTGTCAGAATTCTCCAGGTAGCAGAAGTGGGTTTCTCAAAATTTTGGCAAGGGCTTATCCTGGTTTCTGAAATCTGGATTTGATGGTTACGTGCACAAACACAGAAACAGGATACTTAAAACCCCTGATACTCAAATCCATGTAAACACACTTTATGTAGTAGAGATATGTCATCTGATTTAAACACACTGTGCTGAGTCCTGCATGTTCACATGAGGGCTTTTTGAAGCTTTCCCTGTCTTTAACTTTGTGGCTCCCTGCTCCTTTTGTTCACAGACAGGCGTATGAAAACTGTGTTGTACTGGAAGCTCGGATCTGTTACAATGTGGCAAGACTGATGTATCTCAACTCTGAAAGGTAAAAGTGTTTGAACCGACGTGTGTGTCTCGTCCTGTTAGCATTCTCTGGTGTGCTTGTAAAGCGTCTCTCTGGCTGCTGCAGGAATGAGCTTATTCAGTAAATCTGTCTTTGCATGCAGGAAGAAGACCGAGCGCAGCAAGAAATTCTTCGTTGACCTGCAGGCCAAAGAGCACATCACAACCATGATCAATCCGAAGCCCTGCGGACACCTTTGTTGTTGCATCATCAAAGGCTGTGAGCAGGTCAGACTCGTCCTATCACAGCTTTATCTCAAAACAATACACTCTGGGAAAACATGTTTACAAGCTCACACTGTACTGAATGTTTTTAAATGGAAAGATAAAGAATCAGTCTTACCTTAAATTTCACTTCTAGATTCATGGGGAGGATCAGAGATGAGTAGAAAAGATCTAAGCAACGTACACTGTATTTTTGTTGTACTTACAATGCTCCTCCTTGTACTGTTTTATTTATGGCTGTACTGTTGTATGAGGCTGTATTGAGTTTTGTATTGCTGACGTGCATCAAGAGTAACAATGCTGTTTGCGTGTGCGTGCGCGTGTGCGTGCGTGTGGTGAGGTTTCATTTAGAAATTTTTCCCAAGTAATTTCTTTATTGATGAGTTGATGAATCTTCAAAGCTCATGGACTAAAAGAGTCCCATGATGTTAAAACTCCAAGACACAAAATACCACACAGATTATTAGAAACTAAAAAAAAAGCTTTTCTCAAATGATATTATTCTTTTTAATTCTGCAGGCTATAGTTTGACATTTTAAAAACTGAATCCTTTTCCCGCATGCACTCCTGATCATTTCTTCAAATCTCAGGACAGGCACTTCCTCCGTCTCTGCCTGGCCCCTTACATATGCACCTCACAGCGGGGACGGGTGGGGGGGTCTCAGGAGTCAGGGTGTGTTGTATAAAGGATGACAGAGGGTAGCGATGTCCGACGCTGTAATGACAGTTTGTGCCCTTGTAATGATATTTTTTGACAACTCACAAGTTTTGATTTTAGGAACGATAGGTGCTATCTATAGTTAGGTGTGTAGCTGACCTGATTGACAGGCGGCTGGATGTAACAGTTTGTCAGGAGGCTTTAAACCCGCCTCAGCTCCAGCTCTCAGCCTGTCGTTAGGTTGACTGAAAGTTTGGCTGAGACACCATTTCCAGCATGGCGGCTGCAGCCAATCAACCTCCAGAACCCCCTGCCCTGTAACGGATTGCTGACTTCACTCAGGCTTCGTCCATTAATATTTACAGTCTATGGAATTGTCCAGAATACCTCACATACCTGACTTTATGCAAAAATCTTCCTATTGTGCTGGCGTCAGTGTGAAAAAAATGTATATGTTAAAAACTCCATATATGTCAGGAGATGTCTAAAAAGTGATATTGATTCAACTGCAATGTGAAATAAGGGAAATTAGGTTCACAGTTAAACTAAAAACAAACATGAAAGACTTAGTTGTCTATGTCCTCCACAGGAAGAAGCAGTGGGCTACTACACCAAGCTGGAGTCTCAACTTAAAGATGACTACAGGAAGGAGAGAGAAAAGGTGAACAGGAAGCCGTTAGGAATGGCCTTTGTCACCTTTCAGAACGAGGCCATAACTGCAATGTGAGTATTTATTGAAGTTGAATTTACTGATTATTAATTCCCTTGCTGGAGTCTAATATCTGGTATTTTTATTGGGGTGGATCTTTTCTTCCAGAATCTTGAAAGACTTCAACGCCTGTAAGTGTCAGGGCTGTCAGTGTCGTCGGGAGCCAAAGAGCTCTCAGTTCAGTCCCAAGCTCCACACACAAAACTGGACCGTCAGCTATGCCCCTGATCCACAAAATGTCTACTGGTAAGAACACATTAAGGTCACAAATTCAGTCTGCAAACTGCTCATTATGCAACATCTGGAGTTTGAAGGGTGGTTCCTTTTTGGCTCTTAATTCAGGATTCAACAAACACAGACTTGTCGACTTGTAAAGCTCTTTCTGTCGCACATGTGAATAATCAGAGTTGCAGAGTTCTTCTCAGTCCAGTTTATGAACCAGTTTTTGAGCTGCGGTATCGTTTTACAGACCAGCTGTGTCCATAACCACAGGTCATCGCCCAGCGTCCGTTTTAACCGCTGCATAACCTTTATCCAACAGGGAGCATCTGTCAGTGGGAGGAGTCTCCTGGTGGCTCCGCTGCTTGATCATCAACATTGTCCTCTTCCTCCTCCTCTTCTTCCTTACCACCCCCGCCATCATCATCTCCACCATGGACAAGTTCAACGTCACCAAACCCGTGGAGTATCTCAATGTGAGTGTGAAACGTGTTTAAACCTGTTTTTTCTGTCAGATTGAATGAATATCTTTACGCTTGTGAAGTCAACCCCACTGAGGACCGGATTCATCAAGAATGGATTTAGCTTAAAAAAATAATTAAAAAAAACTGGAGCTCATCTGCTCCCTCTCAAGCTCTAAATCACAAAGCATTTAGCACGAATGATAATCAGACGCAAACACACCCAACAAAGTCGTCCTGCTTCCTGCAGTTTTCTCTCATTTTGAGTCTAAATGTAGAGAGAAAGCTATCTGCATATTCACTCTCCACGGAGCGGCACTCTCAAGCTGACGGAGCTCAATTCTGTCCACATAAACACAAAGAGCTGGGAGACGAGATGACTCTTTTTTTTTAAGTTTATTGTGAGGCCAGACTTGAAAGATTTAGTACAAGTTTCACCGTATAAAACAAATCGTCCTCCTGGAATAAAGCAACCAGGGACATCTCGAAGAAATAAAACAACACGTTCATCCTTGTCGTGCTTAACGGCTCCAGACCGCCTCAGAACGTCTCCTGGAAAGTATTTTTTTTCACTCTATTGATATTAGTGCAGGTGTGTTAAGAGATGATTTTTTTTGTAATGATGCTGATTTGCATAGATAGGGGCCAGTTTTTCCACATTAATACTTCATGGCTCATTCAGATAAGGGCAAACGGCACAGACTCTGTTTGCTCTGCAGGGCAGTTAGTGGACCATTTAACCCTCTGTCTGTTTTGGGAATCAGACAGTTTCTTTTTGTCTTGAGTTTAGCGGGTGCAAAAGCTGCGCAATCCTTTTGTGCATCAGGCTCTGAGTGTTATAAGTTCACACCTCTGCAAGCATACACCGTCTTTCTCAGAGACAGGTTCACACCTCACATATTCATGTTTCTCTTTTCTGTCCTCTAGAATCCAATCGTCACCCAGTTCTTCCCCACCCTCCTTCTGTGGTCCTTCTCCGCCTTACTTCCTACCATTGTTTACTACTCTGCCTTCTTTGAAGCGCACTGGACCCGGTACGTTTTACACTTTATTTTTCTCTTTCAGCAGTTGTGTGATTTAAAAGACCATCCCTCTAATGTGTGTTAATGTTCCTCTGTGTTTGCAGGTCAGGAGAGAACAGGACCACGATGCATAAATGCTACACCTTCCTGATCTTTATGGTCTTGTTGCTGCCCTCTCTCGGACTCAGCAGGTACAGGATTTTATTTCAAAATGTTAAAATGCAAAGTTATTGGCTGCTTTTGATCATTTTTCTCATTAACATTTGATCCTCTCTGTGTTTGTTTTTTTTACAGTTTGGACGTTTTCTTCCGCTGGCTTTTTGACAAAAAATTCTTGGCAGATGCTAAGATCAGATTTGAGTAAGTGACACAAACTTTTGGATGCTGCAGGAGATGAAGCATGATGGTTCTTTTATATTTACAGCAATACAGATTTTTCCTTTTCTTCATATGAATCAAGGTGTGTGTTCCTTCCTGACAACGGCGCCTTCTTTGTGAACTACGTCATTGCGTCCGCATTCATCGGTAACGCCATGGACCTGCTGAGGATACCCGGTCTACTGATGTACATGATCCGTCTCTGCCTGGCTCGCTCTGCAGCAGAGAGGAGGAACGTCAAGAGGGTTAGTGTGTCCAATGCATAATATGTTTAAATCATTGACGAGTCCATGGGCTATTTAGTTGATTAGTTTAACTCGTTTTTCTCCCTGAACATGTACAACTTCATTTCCTACAAAGTTGAGGCGTAAATAAAATAACAAATGCGATGATTTTCAAACATTAAAACACAATATATGATTGAAAATAGCACTAAGACAACACATCAAATGTAGAAACTGTGGGAGCAGTAGCTCAGTCTGTGGGGACTTTGGTTGGGAACCGGAGGGTTGCTGGTTCAAGTCCCGATGCGGACTATGATATGTTGGTCTGGTAGCTGGAGCAGGTGCTTCTCAAGTACTTGAGCAAGGCACTGAACCCTGAACCGCTCTGATGCGCTCCCTGCTTTGTAGTGTGTAGCAGCACAGGTCCTGTTAACCATTTACAAATAAACAACACTATACACAAAGACGTCAGTTTATTCAGCTTCATAGAAAAGGGGATTTTTTTTGAGGATACTGTTTAATTGTGTTAATCAGCTTCACATGATGCAAATATTGAATTTTTAAGACTCATTTCTTGTGTTTCATTCCTGTCTTCCACTAACTCGTACTCTGATTCTGCACAAATTAACAAGCTAATAAAGAAACGGAAATAAAGAAGACAAGACTTTGATCAAAAACTCAGAACATGGGATTTCAAATCAAATAAATATTATTATTTATAGAGCAAATTTTTAAAAACTACCAGAGATGACCAAAGTGTGCTGTTCAATAACATACACAGACAAAATAAGCACATCATGGTCAGAGTCAAATCAGATAAAGAAATATATATATTAGACTTTTATGACCACAGGGAACTAACGGGTGGAATGGTGGGCGATCTTCAAGACGCTGAAATACATAACTGAGGGGAAAAAAAGAGTGTCTTCAGTCAGACAGGAAGCTCTCGATCAAAACAAAAACAAAAAGATGAAGTCGAGGCTGGCGGGGAATCGTGGGAGTGATCCTCTCTGCTACTCCCCCTCCTACCCCGATTTCAGCGTTGACGACCGGATGAAACCGACCTGAGGAAGAGATCATGTTTACAGATGAGCTAATGTATCAGAGTATAATGTACATGACGTTTTTATCACAGCAACAAAACGGCAGCTTTCAGAAGCAGCTCACGCTTCCTTAATCAGTGGCCTTTCATGTATCATCCAGTGTATCCATGGCAACGATAAACATGTCGTCAACCACGACATGACACGTCCTGTTACAACTCTAAAATGACAGATTTATTAAATATTTTTCTTCGATATTTGTGTTCATAGCACCAAGCCTACGAGTTCCAGTTTGGGGCCGCTTATGCCTGGATGATGTGCGTCTTCACCGTGGTCATGACCTACAGCATCACCTGTCCAATCATCGTCCCTTTCGGTGAGTTTCTGTCGGTTTATGATGGTGGTCACTGCTGTCACATGTTCAGATGGAGAGTGCTGATTGGCAGACACACAAGGAGCACTCTGTGGGGTTCTGTTCTTAATACAAAAAGCTTATCGGCTGATGTAATTGGATTAGTTTCAGTAATTGTTTTGTCTGCTCTTCTCTGTGCAGGCCTGATGTACATGTTGCTGAAACACCTCGCTGACAGGTACAACATGTACTACGCCTACCTGCCATCCAAACTGGACAAAAAGATCCACTCTGGAGCCGTCAACCAAGTGGTGGCCGCTCCTATCCTCTGTCTCTTCTGGCTTCTCTTCTTCTCCACTGTTCGCTCTGGTGAGACGAGGGCTCCCCCTACAGGCTGCTGCAGTTCATGCACACTCTGAATCATATTCACAGCATAAGAGGCATTGCAAAGTACAAGCACCTGCTGCACAGAGATCAATCTGTTTTCTCTCTTCAGGGTTCGCAGCTGCAACGTCCATGTTCACGTTAATCGTTTTGATCATCACAATCATCATCTGCCTCTCTCACGTCTGTTTTGGACATTTTAAATATCTCAGCGCTCACAACTACAAGGTAAAAAAAGTCACCAATTAATGTGTTATATTCATTTTTTTTTTAATTCAGCTGCAGCATTTTCATCCACCTGCTTGTGTTTAATGTGTTTTTCTCTTCTTCGTAGATTGACAACCAGGTGGACGGGGTCGAGAATGGGCAAGCAGTGCACACTTTCACCACCTCCAACACAGCGGTGTGTATTCACTTTGTTTATTTGGTAACAATACGAGCCTGCAGATCAAACACTGGAAAAAAGAAGAGACAAAGTGCTAAAGCTTGTAAGAACATGGGGCTAACTCCCAAATCAGTTGTACTTGTTTGTGAAGGGGCTTGACCCCTTAGGTCTTTTCCCCCCAGTCACCTTTTATCGAGCCTTGAACTCTTTATATATGGAAGGAGTGTGTAGAAGAATTAAAGCAGTACAATAACTAGAGATGGGAGCGGTCTGATCTTATGTCAGTATCGGGTCCAATATTGTCGTAATTTACAGATCAGATATCAGACTGACGACGCCGATCCACATCACTGATCACTAAAGATCTTTGGGCACTTTAAACATTCTCAGCCGTCACCGTCTCACTTTGAAGACGTTCAGACTGAACTGTAAGAAGTGTCCACAAACAAGACGTAACCGCTGCTCTTACACTTCAGTTTCAAACATTTAATTTGAAAACCTGCCAGTTGTTGCTGCTTCCTGTTTGTATGTGAAGCCAGCGCGATGCAATGCTGGGTTTACAACAGCTTTGTGTAAACCTTACACATATCATGCATCTCTAAAAATGACACTTGGAATAACGATCACATGATTAAAGATTCAGATGATACAAAGGAGAATAGAAAAAGACGACATCACATCACAGAAAGAAAAACGGCTTAATGGCTGAAACACAAACTAACATTTCCTCTTATTCTCTCCTCTGCAGCAAAGCTACATCGCTCAGGTACTTCAAGACCCGACTTTAGAGGAGGCCAACTCGGGCAGCGGCGAGGAAGACGGCCAGGGGTCCTCGCAGGACGAGGAAATAATCAATGTGGAAAATAACCTGAATGAGGACTTCCAGTCTGGTGAGGACAGCCTCATTGACCATGAAGTGCGGAACTGACACTGCCTCAGACACAAACGAATCCCCCTTAAAGTTTAGCCCGACGACTGCACTGAATCTGTGAAACAAACAAGGAACTGACTCGATAGTTCTCCGAAGCATCTCAACCTCCGCGGTGGAACTTTGACACTAACATAAGCACACTGTCTACTAAGGATTTAACGGATTGTTGTTTAAGGACTCCTAACGTCTTATGTACCTACAGAGGGAATCTACTCTGATAATGCAAGGGCGGTGACTTCCTTCTGATAAACCCGAGGCACATCCCAGAATCATGCACATACATGGACCCAATGAGAAAAGACACTACTGCACAAATGAAGATTTGCCTCGTCTTGTATTGGGAGTGATGTTCTGTCTGTTTTTTTTTCCTTAACATTATTGCACTTGAAAAAGAGAACCTGTCCGATAAGCTCGAGTTTCCCCGAAGGTACTGTTGTACAGCATGCCTTCCGGTTCAAAAGGGCGGAGGGATCTACCTGAAGTCCTTTTGCCAGTATCTCTTAATTGTCTGCACTACTTTCTCTGTAAAAGTAAAAGCAGCGGGCGTTGGAGGAGAACGAGAGTTCCCACATCCCCGCGTCGCTTTGTGAATGCAGATGTTCAAATACTGTTCTTCCAAATCCGTCAAAGCCTTTCAAAACGAGAAAAAAAAAGGACGACAAAAAAATCATCGCTACTACTAACACTCCTCGATGCTTTGACGCTGCAAAACGTTGGACTCTTGATAAATCCTTTTTGACATGGTATTTATTGTAAATGCTAAACGCCCCTAAAAACTGTGGAAGAAGATAACGTGTATATCTTGGCGCACACTACATTACTAAGACACTTGATGGCGTGGTTCAGTCTCTGAGCCTTTTTGTCGGGTCTGCTGTGGACTGCTGCTACTGAAGCTGCCTCCTGTAGGGGGGAACGTTTGCACGGCTGCTGCAGGAGGACCGGAGGCCAGGAGCCTGCGGATCCTTTTGCTGCGTTGCTCAGAGGTCGGAGAGAAAGGCTGTTTTTTTTTTTTTTTTCTGGGTCAGTTTCAGATGATACCTAATGTGACGGCTTCTCTTATCTGTTCTCATTTGTTTACGTCTGTATGTAGAGATTCTTTTTTTTTTTTTTTTTTTTTTTAATGCCGTTCAGTTTCTGCTGACGAGCTCTGAAGGCGTCTCTCGTCACGCAGCCCTCCGTCTGGTCCTCCTCGATCTTAATTCTTGTACGTAGACACTTAACCTAGCTGCTTCTTGTACCAGTGGTCTCTGAACATTGTTACACTTTCTCATTTTGCTAGTTAGGAGTTGTATTGTTTAACGGGAATTGCGCAACTTTAGCGACACCATATTGAATCTTAAAGAAGGCCGCTCACGAGAGAGACACGCTGCAAATCTTGACATGATGCAGCACCTCTGACACTGAAAATAAATAACTTATAACGTTTCTTCTGAAGGATTTATCCCCTAAAAACTGAAGGTTCCCTTTCCAGTTCCTCTTCCTAGCATACTTACTCTACAGGTGCGATAGTTTGTTCTTCTACTGAAGGTTGTCAAAATGTTCAATGCTTCAAAATCTTTTTCAACCTCATCTAAAAACGATACAAGCTCTGTTGACATATTGAAGGGTGATATCTGAGCAGGCGGGGAGACTACGGGGAATATCATAACTTTGGAAAAGAGTGTTGGTGATGTTACCAGTGCCTTTGTGAAAAGTAGAAATATTTCCAAGTTTAGCGCTCTGAGTGCTGTTTTCTCTGGGCGGCTGCTTGCTGCCCAGAGAGCAGCAGCAAACGCTCAGCAAAAGACCAGCAGCAAACGCTCTCTACTCGTTGAAAATAATTGATAAAAAGTTGCTGGCGCTCAGAAAGAAACGCTAGGTGGACACTAAGTCGCATGAATTCTTTGGAAACGTTTGTATTTGTGCAGTTAATAAAATCCTCTTTCTTTTACTCGCAGCAACTTCAGGTTAAAAATGAAGATATTCAGTCATTTTTTTATATCAATCAATTAGTTACCTGAACGTTGGAGATTGCATTGTTTTAAAACATTCAATGTTGAAGTATTGAACATTATAATGACCTTATGTGATACCTTAGCAGTCAAAACAAACGAGTCAACCGAATGGAATCAGTTGCACCTTTTCTCAAACACTCAAAGCTTTAATTGCGTTCGTTTATAGATCAATTTGAACACTGCTTCACATCGTCCCTCCTTCTTTAAAATGTGCAGAACTGATACAAATCCACATGAAGTAGCAGCTGTTTTATGACAACAGATGTGGAAAGTTGAACGAGGACGAATACTTGATGCTAGGCACTTTAGCTTCGCCCTCGTGTATGAACGCCACTGGAGCTTCCCCAGACAGAGATGATGTTGAGCGCCATCTACTGGAGGACACAAACATCCAAACTATCCCTTTAACATATTCCTTCTCTTGTTAGGCCGTAATAAACAGCACCAGACAAAAATATGAGCTTAAACAGTAATGTCAGAAACAACACTATGAGCTGCCCCCTGTTGGACTTAAAGTAGCACTACAGTCTGTCACTAGGGACCAATTATTATAATAATAATAAAATGATGTGATATTGAGCTGCTCAGAGGACTGTTGTGGGAGACGTGCACTAATCTTACTTTCACTTAGATGATTGACAGAAGGACACGCCTCCGTGAGAGAGAGCGAGCGAGAGAGAGAGACAAAAGATGAAGCTGACATGTTTCCATCGTTTTTCCCCCCGTTGATATAAAAGTGTCACACGTTTGTTTGTTGTTTTGGTATCCATCGGGGGCGCTTCTCGTCATGATAAGTCGATTTTTATATTTAATACCTCTTTGTTTTTTTATACCTCTGAGATGTCCTGAAGTCTCTGAATGTGTTATGTCAGAATATAACAAACTTTCCAGCTCTGAGGAGAAGATATTCATCGTCCTGTTTTGTCTAACACGTGTTGAAACGCTGAATGTAGGTTAATTCCACAACTTTTTGTAAGATGAAAAGTGGCTTAAGCGGCTGTGTGATGGCTGTATTCACAGCTTTAAAAAAGGGCAGTCACCTGTTGACCTGAAATTTTATACGGTAACCAAACTTACTGTCGTCCTGTTCTATGTCATCGCATTTCAATTTAGAATTGTCAGTCTGATGGTGTCCGTCGTCTTCTGCTACTTCCAAATTCAGCTTCCTCTTCATGATTTTAGATCCTCTTCATAAAGTCTGTGTCGACAGTGCGACTCACTGGAAATAAAAAGGATCGTTTTATGTTAACGGCCGAGCTCTCTAGTAGAAGTCTGCGCTCATTTCTTCTTCAGTGTTTTCATCATGTTTGGTGAATTGTCTCTCAGCCTCAAAAATGTGTTCACGTGCTCTGCCTGTTTTAGTTTTATATTTTTCTAGCTAGCAGGAGTACCAACAGTCTCATTTTCTTCTCTTCTTTTTCTTCCAAAGGGCCGTTTATAAACCGGATATTTACTGTATAGATCTTTACTTCTCTCCTAGCTCTTTGAGAATAAAACTGTATTTAATCAGAATGTCAACAGTATGAGTTTCATTTCAATACTGCCGCTATTCTCCTGTGTTTTAGTCACTTTAAGCAACAGTATGTAACATTTGAAAGAATACCACATTTATACACTCGCAGAACAAGTCCAGCGATATCAAAGTACTGCTGTTTAATTTACCTCCACATTCAGCTGCTAAGCCTTTCTTGATCTAGTATGTTCAGGAGCTAATGTGGCTAAAGTTAGCATACTCTCATGGATGTTTCTGTATTAAAGGTCACATATGATGGAAAATATACTTTACCTGTTAGCGCCATGGATGTTGCGTCTGTTCCTGAAGTGACCGCAGTTTATAAGAGAACTTACTTTGCTATACCATGCAGATGTCATTAAGGGACAGAAATGGGGCCTAATATTGAGCCCTGAGGAACCCCGCTATTAAATTCCATGCAAGATGGGTTACGTAGTAAAATAACTTCTTAACCTATTCAGCACAACTTCTATGATACAATACCTCTTACATATGGCTAGGAATTATGTTGCATGTATTCTTTAGATGTATTAATAATCCATTTGCATTAAATTCTGTCATCAGCAGGCTATAATTTGTAATTTCTTCTATTAATTATGTTTGTGCCATGGATGTTGTGTCTCTTCCAGAAGTGACAGCAGTGTCATCAGAGAACTTACTATACTTTACCACGCAAATGTAATTAAGGTACTGAATGGAGCCGAATATTGAGCCCTGAGGAACTCCGCTTTTAAAATCCATGCAGAATGGGGCTGCAGTTAAAATGAGAATGTGTTGCCTGTTTTTTTTTAATAATTTCTTAACCTATTTAGGACAGCTTCTATAATACAATACCTCTTACATTTGGCTAAAAAATATGTTTCAAATGCATTCTTGCATGTCAATTTACCTGAAATGAGCGTGATCTAGAAACACAGTTAAGCAGTGAGTACAGTATGTTATTCTTCTTTTCTCTAGTCCCTCAATTAAACAACTTTTCTACACGAGGGGAGGAGTCAGCCGGCCGTCCGGGCGATGTAAACAAAGTGAAGATAGGACTCTGAAAACATCACAGACAGTGGGACTCGGGTGTTACACCCATTGTAGACAGTCATGACTCACAGAGTTATTTTCAGAGGATATACTTGATTTCTACATTTATGTGTGAAAAATCACATATAACAATACATCTTAAATGTGGCTAAATAATATGTTTCAAATGTGTTCTTTAGATGTATGAATACCCCATGTGCATGCTTTCTTTTATGAGCAGGCTACAATTTGTACTTTCTTCCTTTAATTCAGTGAGTGTCATATATAGCCTGTTATGTGTAAAGTAACCTTAATCTTATCTTTATTATCTATCACTGGTTCCTTAAACTAAGATGACTTGTAACTGTCATCATAGGAAATTGCCACATCATATCTACGGCGAAGTTAATGTGGACTGTTTGTATTCTTAGAAGAAAGGAGGCAGGTGATTGGAGGGTCAGAGGTTCTTTGGGGGCGGGTCGGTACAGTTCTCAGACTCAAATACTGGGTGCTGCTGGGGAGGGAGGTGCGAAGCTGCTGCTGCGGTGCAGAGAGGAGACGGAGGCGCGACGTGGAAAGGCAGAATGGCATTTACGCGTTTTGTAATCCAGCACATGAAGCCCAGTTCCAACACGGCACCGACCAGGCTGTCCGCTTTCAGGAGGATCTGACGCTGACATGTAGGAGAACAAGTCAACTTTTTTATGAAGAAGAAGAAGAAGTGATCGTCATGGACGGAGGGTTAACTATCACTTTAATTTCTGTTGCGATGTTTATAGGCTGTTTTCTGCTTGGATTCATTCCGCTGTTATTCAAGCTGTCTGAGGTAAGTTTTACGCGAGTTACAGATCTCACAAACAGACAATAAAAAATGACTTTATTTTCTGCCTCTTTTCACTCACACTCATCGCTTTAATTGCTGTTTTGTTTTTTTTAAATGAGTTTTGGCGCTGCAGTATTTGTTTATCTCCATGACAGTCTGACGGATCCCTGCAGCTGTTTTGTCAGTAAAATAAATGTGTGTGTGTGTGTGTGTGTGTGTTTACAGAAAAGCCTGAAGTTCGTCTCCATCCTGGGGGCAGGACTCCTGTGTGGGACAGCCCTGGCCATAGTCATCCCTGAGGGAGTGGGCTTACTGGAAGAGTCATGGAGAGGTGAGCAGGGTGTACAAATATTATCATAACCTCCAAGTCCTGTCCTGTGTGTGTCCGTCTGGGAATCACACCTCTTCCTTATTTATTTTTCATGCATGCTGTTAGTATAATCTCCTATTAACTCCTGTGTTTCATCATGACACCAAAGTCCTTTTTTTATTTGTTCCTGAACAACATATCAAGAAAGCTTTTGGGTCGGGATCAAAAAGTCTCAGAGTTTGTGCTGCCTGGGAAAAAAAAACTTGTAACAACAAGTCTGTTTTTAAACATGTTTGTTTGGTGCAGTTTTTTGCATCTGTCTAAGATCCAAACTACAACAATTTTTAACTAAATGAACCTGATTGGATGAACAAAAAACAGAAATCTGGGTCGGTTGTCTTATGGAGGAGTTAGTTGTTGGTCCTGAGGCTAGACGAGTTTAGAACCGCTGCTCTGAATCTCTTCTTGAAGAGCACACTTTATTGAACCGGCTTTTACTTGAATCATGCTTCAGAAGCATTTTCACCAACTTTATGGTAGATGGACCGGAGCTTATATAACGCCTTTCTAGTCTTTCTAGTTTTCTAGGCTTTTCTAGCAACTTGGGGTTAAGTGTCTTGCCCAAGGAGGCATCAGACATGTAGCTGCAGGAGCTGGGGATCGAACCCCGACCTCCCAGGTTGAGAGATGACCGACCACAAAATCTATTCTTTAGCATTCTGGGAGCTGAAAGAGGAGTGATCAGCTCACATTTGAATGTTCAGGTTAAAGGCCTGCTCATCACAGTTCTGTACCGTCTGGACTCCATGAATAGATTTCTGGTGAATGCTGTTGAGATGAAGGCGTGTAAAACTGTCCTGTGATGATGAAGCACAGGAGGATGAAAGCAGACGCAGCGGGCTGTCGCTCTTTTGTGTGAATCTGATCAAAAGCTCTCCTTGTCCTTCATCTCTCTCTCTCTCTCTCTCTCTCTCTGCAGCGTCCTCCTCCTCTGATGCGCCCTCCGATCTGAACTCCTCTGATAAAAACGTCACCTCCGCAGAAGAAGGCCCCCCGCCTCGCTTCTTCATCGGCGTCGCTTTAACTTTCGGGTTCACCCTCATGTTTGTCGTGGATCAGATCGGCAATTACCTTTCCATGCGAGGTGAGACGGCAGAACTCTTATTCCAGCTTCATCTGGCAGATCTCTGAAGATACTGTTTCATTATCAACATGTTGCAATTTGTCATTTCAGACCAATCAACTTGTAACCGCGTCGGCATCACGGCTACTTTGGGGCTGATTATTCATGCTGCAGGTAAAAGTTTATTTGTATTCATAAGTGTTTGTTCAATGCACACAAAATACTTTCAGAAAGTCCCGGCTTTAGGCAGTGAAATTTCCCAACAAAGCGCAGGAGTTATTCATTAGCTCATGTGACTCGGCATGTGATTTCTCGACTCTTTGACTCTTTTATGTTTTACAGGAGGTCATTTCTCTGAGCCTGGAGGCTTTAGCTCACTCTGGCAAAACAAACAAAACATGACTTTTCAAACCCCGCAGCCATCAGATAGATTTACTCAACCTGGTGTTAAAGGTCACATATCCTCCTCCTCTTCTTCAGTTTAAATAAGTCTCAGAGCTCCTCAAAACATGTGTGTGAAGTTTCTTGTTCTAAATCCACTCTGATCCTGTATTTGATCATGTCTATAAACCCCTCTATTTCAGCCCTGCTCAGAACAGGCTGTTTCTGTGTCTGTAACTTTAAATATGTAAATGAGCTGTGTCTGACCACGCCCCCCTCTCTGGTAGGGCTTTGGGTGTACTCTGGCTTTCTCGCTCCATGTCCTATTGTTTACAGTGACCACTGCTGTCTCTCTCTTTCGCTCGCCGCAGCTTTCCGTTAGAAACACGTCTGAAGATCTGTTCAACGTTTTATTTTATTTTCTGATACAAAGATTTTTTTTTAAGAAGCTACAGGTCACAAAGGCAGACATCTGTTGGATGCACACATTGCACCTTTTCTTTGGGGTTTCACAAAAATGAATACAACCCTTTTTATATTTTGATTGTTCAGTTCTGAATACTGTTTAACATCATCACTCCCACCTTAAAGTTGGATTAGTTTGTGTAGAGCCATGATTGCATACAAGCCCAAACAATCCATTAAACCTGTGGTTTTAAAATAACAACATGTGAAAAAGTAAGTGTTTAAAAAAGGCTGAAAGTTGCTCCAACATGTTTTGAATCATTCGATGTTTGAGACCTTTAACAAGTCTTTTCTCTGCATGTAGCTGATGGATTTGCTCTGGGTGCAGCAGTGTCCACGGGTCAAGTGTCGGTGCAGGTGATTGTGTTCTTTGCTGTAATTCTACACAAGGTGAGGAACAATTCAGCCACACACACACATATATAGATATATATATCAGACATGATATTGAATGATAAGACCTGACTTTGTGCTCTTTCTCATAGGCTCCTGCTGCTTTTGGTTTGGTCTCCTACCTGATGCACACAGGCCTTGAAAAGAAATACATCCAGGGACATTTACTCGCCTTTTCTGCTGCAGCGCCTCTAGTCGCCATCCCCACTTACTTCATATTACACGCGGTAAGAGAGCTTGCATCAGACAGTGACTGTAGAGTCTAGAGCCTTTCACACATGCAATGCACCCCGGGGAATTTATCGACTTTTCCAGGTAGGACTGCCTGTATGATTGCAAATGGACAAACTTTTTTCAACCCCGACTTTTTCCTACCAGCTTCTGCAGCTGATGTTTGAATGCAGCAGGTTATAGTTTAGAACTTTAACCACGACTGAAGGGGCCGCCTCATCCTGACCTAATCCAGACAGAGTATTGTGAGTTATGAGAGCGCATGATAATACTGATCACACTGATAATCTCCCGCTGTGAGGTCCATGTGTGAATGTCAAGTTCATGAAAATATCAGATCTTGAACGTCCTGAAATTGTCTAGAAAATGTCAGGAGTGCATGTGTGGAAGGAGCTTTAGTTCAGGCTTTGGTGTATTTTGAATTTGGTGTTTTTGTGTCTGCAGTCTGGCAGCTCATCTCAAAACCAGCTCAGTGCGACAGGTGTGGGGATGCTCTTCTCAGCGGGGACGTTTCTCTACGTGGCCACCGTGCACGTCCTCCCTGAGGTCAGCAGCGGAGCGGAGCACCCCCTCTCAGACCTCCCCCCCTCAGACCTCCAGCAGCAAACAGGAGCCGAGCCCCACAAGCATCGACACCTGGGGCTCTTAGAAAGCCTCACCCTCATCCTCGGGGTCGGCCTTCCCGTGGTGCTCGCTCTCGGCCTTCATGACGACTGACAAAAGGAACGCCAGAGCAAATAAGTCAAGTGAGGAGAGACTGAGCAGCCCACGCCTTGAAGGAACACTGTGAGCACTTTACACTGAACAGGGTTTGATTCCTGTACAGCTTTCCCACAGTAGAAAACAAAAAGCAGTGTTTACACCAAAAAATGACGAGGAACTGTGAGTCCGATTCATTTTATTTCTGGGGACAAAAATGTTCCTCCAGCAGGTCGGAAGAACACGTGAAGATAAGGCAGATTAATGTGCTGCAAGTGCAAAACTTCACACCTGTTTGAAGAGGTCACACCCGTTTAATTTAAAACTGTCACAGGTCATTACACATTGCCCAAAGAGCCCCAGTAGAGAAGCACAAACATGCATTCATACACCTTATTTATAAGAAACGACTACCCCCCAAAAGCTTGACTTTTTGCCAGGGTATAAAAAGTCCCAGGAGTTCCACTAGGAGTGTTCTGAGGTCATCTTTTGTTTGTGTTTGTACGCGAGGGAATCTGATAGCTGATGTATTGTTCAATAGAATGAAAATCCATCTCAAGACTGACAAAAGACAAGTGTGAACTTGTTGCCAAGTTTGAGTTTAACAAACCCTCTATTTGTGCTTCGTCATGTCTAACAGGATGTGCCATGTGTAACAGTGAGATGACAGTAAGTGGATCAATTTACAGGAACAACCACTAAACCTGATACATCGTGTCACCCAGAAAATGAGGTCGTTCGTTTTTAAAATAATTCCTCTTTGTTTGCACAGTCAGTAAAACAAATCCAGCAGCTCTGAGTTGTTAAACTGTAAAAACTACGTCTGTGTTGAAATCTACTGTGACAGAAACAGACAACAGTGGACTTCTAAAGATGGTCTCTCCCATCTCAAATGTTTCACTGAGTTTATTTCACATTTACTGCCCCCATGTTCCTCTCTCAGAGGGTTGTTAAGAGTTTGCAGAAGTTCACACAAGATAATAAAAACATTCCAGCTCTTGTTACGACCGTTGTTTCTTGTGTCTTTCTCTTTTTGTTTTTTTCTCTCTCAGCACATTTTTTTTTATCGCAGAGGCAAAGTGTCTGATTGTTTATTCAATTTTAATGCATCTTGTGTCAGGTGGCGCCTGACCTAAATCAACTGGCCCGAAGGCCTGGGATGAGTATGCCAAGGAGAACCATGCCAAGTGTTACGCTGCATTCATGTGCTGTCGGACAAATGAGTTTCTGAGTTTGGAAGCACACTTGAATGCCTCCTCAAGTCGGAAGAACAACTCGGAAACTCTGGAAAGAATTAATTGCCCGACTTGACGTTGTATTCATCATCAACATGGCGAAAAGATGACAAAATATTTTTTGTTAATGGTAACAATCGAGTAGTCATCATTTTGAAAATCTTTGTTGATTCATGTCACAAGCCAGACGATTTAAAGATTAACATGTTCATCAGTCATAACTTGGCTCAGCTGATCCGTTTCTTTTCCTCCTCATTGTAACGAAAATACTGGAAATAGCGATCAACAGTTTAAACTCGAGACATTTCAATTCTTCTTTGAGAGGACATGAGGCAACACTGATTTTCACAATAATGACCACATGACCCTTCTTCGTAGCAGCTATGTTGTTTGTTGTTGTTAAAGGTGACATATCTTCCTCCTCCTCTTCAGTTTAAATAAGTCTCAGAGCTCCTCAAAACATGTGTGTGAAGTTTCTTGTTCTAAATCCACTCTGATCCTGTATTTGATCATGTCTATAAACCCCTCTATTTCAGCCCTGCTCAGAACAGGCTGTTTCTGTGTCTGTACCTTTAAATATGTAAATGAGCTGTGTCTGACCACGGACCCTCTCTGGAAGGTCTCGGGTGTACTCGGTGCTTTCTCGCTCCATGTCCTATTGTTTACAGTGAGAAGGCAGACTCAGAGGGCAGAACAAACACCTAGCTGTGGGAGTGTCACCCACCTGGGGGAGGGGCTACTGCCCTTTGTGATGTCATGAAGGGAAAATCTCCAAACGGCCTGTTTGGGCACACATTTTCTGAAAAGTGGAGCAGGCAGAAGACGGAGAGGATGGACTTTTCTCATCATTGGGGGTTTGTAGACGACTAGAGACACATGTTAGAGGAACATGGAGAAGTGGATGTTGCGTAACATATCGGAATTAAAGGAGTGTCAACGACCTCCAAACTCATAACCTCGGACTATCAGAGGAGCACATGAATGCAACATTAATACAAAAAAATGCAAAACTGCAAAAACCTTTAAGTAATAATTTATTGAGCGATGATATAAAACATTCAACAATGTAACACTCTTTTATTCTCTACACTACATCCCGTTATCTTTGGTTCTGCTTACATCCCATTGTAAACTTGAAACACTTCATCCAGTGAGACATGGCAACACATTAAGACACCAACTAAAATCAGAGGACAAGAAAAAAAACACACAACCTTCAGCTAAACATGAACCAACGATCCGAGCGTTGTTCAGATCGTGCACCTCGGCTCACCTTTAACCACTCTAAAGTGCCCCATCATTCCTCTCTTATCTCGACTCTGCTGCCTGCTCAGGTCAGAATCAAAACACTCATGTCAGCCAAACATCTGCGGAAGAACAAGTTAACCCTTTAAACTCTGGTTCTGCAGTGCTCAGCTGAACCTTCAACCTTCTGCCGGCTGAAAACTTAAGAGAGCTGGAACTTTTTTTATGGGATTATTACCTTGAAAGAAGGCATTTACAAGGCCAACTCCTGCCTCTCTCTTAACCTCTACAATTTAATTATTAATTCATGAAATTAAAAAAAACAAAAACAAATGGCACAATCTGATGGACTCTTTCACTAAGGCATGATGTCAAAAGAATCTGTGACTTTGAGTCTTAACATCAGGTGAGCATATTTTCAAACCTCCAAATCGGGACACTTTAATCATTCCTCATATCCACATATAACAATTCACAGATCAGTGACCTGCACTGATCAAACAAGGTGGTAGGTAAATATTTCCTCCTGAGCAGCTTTTTTAAGTTGTATGTATGCATTTCCCCCGTGGGGGTCTGAAAGTGGACACTTGCACTGTGTTCAAAAGGCATTATATTCTTTCCTAGTATTTCAAAGGAAGCTGTAACTTTCCTGGAAGCTCTTTGCAAAATGCTGACTTCATTTTCAGTGTGACAGCTCGCCTTCATGTTGTTATGTACCGACGAATTTTTGACACGTCGTGCATCAGTGATGCTTTTCTATTGGTTCAAAAGCGGGACAAATTACTTTATAGATATGTGTTGGCTCAGGACACAGAGCGCTCAGGTGTGAAAACAACTTTGACAAGATTATGATTAATGGCATTTTTGAAAGGCCCCAACATTCACCTCCCACCTGTCCCCAGGTACAAACACATCCACATACTTATACAAGTCAATGCAACATTCTTTGTTTTCTGAGAAATGGATGATTAAGAAGCCTGAGAGAGGATGGTGACGTCTTAAAGCCTGAGAGAGGAGGTGCTGTCCTAAAGCCTGAGAGAGGAGGTGCTGTCCTAAAGCCTGAGAGAGGAGGTCGTCCTAAAGCCTGAGAGAGGAGGTGCTGTCCTAAAGCCTGAGAGAGGAGGTGCTGTCCTAAAGCCTGAGAGAGGAGGTGCTGTCCTAAAGCCTGAGAGAGGAGGTGACGTCTTAAAGCCTGAGAGAGGAGGTGCTGTCCTAAAGCCTGAGAGAGGAGGTGATGTCCTAAAGCCTGAGAGAGGAGGTGACGTCTTAAAGCCTGAGAGAGGAGGTGACGTCCTAAAGCCTGAGAGAGGAGGTGATGTCCTAAAGCCTGAGAGAGGAGGTGACGTCTTAAAGCCTGAGAGAGGAGGTGCTGTCCTAAAGCCTGAGAGAGGAGGTGCGTCCTAAAGCCTGAGAGAGGAGGTGACGTCTTAAAGCCTGAGAGAGGAGGTGACGTCCTAAAGCCTGAGAGAGGAGGTGACGTCTTAAAGCCTGAGAGAGGAGGTGACGTCCTAAAGCCTGAGAGAGGAGGTGCGTCCTAAAGCCTGAGAGAGGAGGTGACGTCTTAAAGCCTGAGAGAGGAGGTGACGTCCTAAAGCCTGAGAGAGGAGGTGACGTCTTAAAGCCTGAGAGAGGAGGTGCTGTCTTAAAGCCTGAGAGAGGAGGTGCTGTCTTAAAGCCTGAGAGAGGAGGTGACGTCTTAAAGCCTGAGAGAGGAGGTGACGTCTTAAAGCCTGAGAGAGGAGGTGCTGTCTTAAAGCCTGAGAGAGGAGGTGACGTCTTAAAGCCTGAGAGAGGAGGTGACGTCCTAAAGCCTGAGAGAGGAGGTGACGTCTTAAAGCCTAAAGCCTGAGAGAGGAGGTGACGTCTTAAAGCCTGAGAGAGGAGGTGACGTCTTAAAGCCTGAGAGAGGAGGTGACGTCTTAAAGCCTGAGAGAGGAGGTGACGTCCTAAAGCCTGAGAGAGGAGGTGACGTCCTAAAGCCTGAGAGAGGAGGTGACGTCCTAAAGCCTGAGAGAGGAGGTGACGTCTTAAAGCCTGAGAGAGGAGGTGCTGAGCAAATCAAGTCTTTCATAGTTTCATGCGGCTCATGGAGGCGGCCAGCTGAGCCTCCAGAGCCATCCGGTCAAATGTCCGCCTGTGCGTCTGCTGCCTCACTCTCTCCCTCATGTGGAAGGAGGCCCGGGCCAGCCTGTGCGCCTCCTCCTGTATCTGCTCCCTCTGTCTCCGCAGCCTCTCCCTCCTCCACTCCTTCAGGAAGAGGCCGCTCTCTCTGACCCTCCTCGCCGCCTCCTCCTCCCTCCGGATGCTCTCCCTCAGCCGCTGGTGGCAGAGCTGCCTGCGCGTGTTGCGCTGCTGCGTCTGCAGGGCGCGGACGCGGCTCCGGGCGGCGGCGTGCAGGGTGGCTCTCTCCGTGCGCCGCTGGCTCATCTGCACCAGGACCTGCTTGTGCGTGAGCTCCTGGACGCTCCGCAGCTCGGCCCTAAGACGCGCCCTCCGGATCTGCTCCTCCTCCCGGGCCGCCCGCTCCTTCAGCTCCCTCAGCCGGGTGTCCACGACCCGGGCACGTTTCTCGCAGGAGCGCTGCAGCTTCCTCTCGAGGGCGCTCCTCATCAGCTCCTCCTCTTCCTCCACCTGCTGCTCCACCCGCTGCTTGAGGAGAACATGTCGAAGCAGCTCCATGCGATTCCCCTCCTGCAGCCTCGTCCTCTCCCTCTTCTCCTGCAGCACTCTGCTCCTCCTGGCCTTGTGCTCCTTCTCCACCGCAACCTGCCTCTCCCTCTCTCGCTCCCTCTTCTCCACCTCCTCTCTCTCTTTCAGCGACTTCTCCTGGTAGCGTTTGCGCCACTCTGCCTCTCTCTGCGCGGCCTCCGCCTTCTGCCTCCGCTGCGCCTCCACCTCCTCCTTCAGAATCCTCCATTTGTCTTCCTGCAGCAGCACCTCCTGCTTCAGTTGTCCCATCTTCTCCTCCTCCCGGATCTCCCTCAGTTTCCTGCGCACCTCCACAGTTTCCTCTCCGTCTTCGGGGAGTGTCTGAGGTCTCCCAGGCTGAAGCTGCACACGGTGCTCCGGTCTCTGTGGGAGTTACAGGGCGATCTGCTTTTCACACTTTTCCCTTTTAAACACAGATCTGCATACGGGACGGGTTCTGCTGAGAGTCTGTCCTTTACCTCCTCCTTCACTGCCAGGCCTGACACCTTAGAGCCGCGTGGCCACCTGCTCCGAGCCTCCCGGATAATCCTCTCCCTCTCCTCCCGGCACATTTGTAAAAGCTTGGTCCTCTCCTTTTCGTAGGACTCGTGCATGACTCTCACCGCCTCGAAGGGCGCGTCCTGCTGCTCGGCTATTAACTCGTTGAGCGATTTGATTAAAAGAGCAACCGGTTTGATGCCCAGCCGTGCGCAGGACTCCAAAGAGCGGGGGCTCGTTAAAACACAACGACTCATCTCCGCCTCGGCAGAGTGGAAGTTGTTCAGGTCCAAGCGGAGCCCGGGGGGAGTGGACCTCTTCTCCTCCATGGTTAAAAAAACCCTGAGGAACTCACCCGGGTTGGGTTTGGGTTCCAGGCCCTTAGTGTCGCTCCTGCTCCTCTGCTCCCGTCCTGCACATTGTTTGGACTCCTCCTCAGCCCAGAGAGGTCATGGAGGGATTAACTGCGGATTTTCCAGACAGCTCTTCACCTCAGCTGTAAGAAAGGACAGACAGACTTACTCTCAACACTTGGACTCTGTTTATTAATTAAACCCAAGAGGAGATGTTAAATATTTACCAGCAAATTGAAAATATATAATAATATAATAAAATTCTTACTTAGGCTGTTTGTTTATTTTTTCTTTTTAGCAAAAAAAAAACTCATGATGGACTTGGACTTGTGTACGGGTTTGGATGAGGAGCTGAAACAAAAAAATAAAATAAAAACAATAAAAAAATACAATAAAAAATAAACATTTGGCAGGTATATGGAAGAGGAAATTATGTTTTGTTGCAACACTGGGTGGATATTAGGATTGTAAATAAACTGGGATTGTTATTTATTTGTTTATTTATTTACGGTGGCAAATAAAGTGGGGATACTTGTTTGTATATAACATAAAAATGTAAATAATTTGAGAATGTGTTGAAATAATTTATGAATTATTGGAGGAGTTTTTATTATCTTATTTACATTTTTGGTTGGAAGAGGTCATTCTTTCATTCATAATAACTGAAAAAGTAGAGCCTTCTTACAGCAATTTAATTAGCCTATCTTAAAGCATGAAATAAATACACCGTCCATGATACGAATAAAGATTATCCTATTTTACCATATTCTGCCTAATGTGGATATTTACACCGTAACGTATTCTGAAAATACATTAAAGAAAAAACCTCAAACGTTACAAGTTAAAGTTTCAACGTTTCTCTTATTTTGAGATTAAACGTGTTGAGTTCACCTATAGACTGTAAACATTACGAGTTCACCAGCTGACAGTGAAGACGCTCTCTGGTAACCATGGTAACAAACTAACGCTTTCGAATAAAGAGCCTCAGATTCACAGCTTTCTTTTTGAGCAGTGCGCCCTCTGCGGTGAGCGTCATCCTTGGAGGACCGTCTCCGTCGCTGACGTAATCTGCGTCCGACGGTCACCGAAGTTGGTTTCTTATTCGTTAAACATTCAGAAATGTGGATTAGATTTGTAATTTTAACCCCAATTAAAATTTCTTAATTTTGGTTTTCATGTGTGAAAAAGGTTTTTATTAATAAAACCCATTTCTATTCTAAGTATTCACATTTATATTTCTGTTGCCAGTATAAGAAACTAAACAATAAGTGACTGAAAATATGTGAAAAACTTACTTTTTACATTTTAATCGATTACTTAAACGATACTTAAATTACCTAAAAATAACTTCAATTATCACTTCGATTCTGTAACAGCGTATTATTTGCCTGAGGGAGCACTTAACAGAAACTCACCCATTGAAGTCCTTAACAAGCTTCCACGCTGACTGGCCCCTTCTTTGTGATGTGTTTTCTACCTGCTGTTATATGTTTTCTTCATGTACCATTAGTGGAAAGCTTTGAGAAATTTCCCCATGGGGTTACAATAAAGTATTGTGTTGTTGTTTACAATTTAAAGGCAGGGTTGGTACTTTTCGAAAACTAGCATCATCTTAAAAGTAGCATTCCCTCAGTGCTCCGTCTGCACCCTCCCCCCCCTCAGTGCTCCGTCTGCACCCTCCCCCCTCTGTGCTCTGTCAAAAGCCACGCCCCTCACTTACTTGCAGGAGCGCCATTGGTCCAGACGCAGAACTGCTTTGAGTGTGGGCGTGTGCATGCATGGGATAGAGAGCGAGCAGGGAGACAGGGAGGCGTCTGATTGGTTCATCAGATTGGTACCTCGTGGCAGACATTGGTGGAAGTTTTTACAGACTTACAAACTGATACAGATGATGGATTCTCTTTGTTCCTTTTTCAGAGAACATGAGTTATTAATTTCTGTCAGGACCTAAAGACAATTTACACCAGAATCTTAAAAAGTGGATCTGGAGGAAATGCCTTTAATCGATTATTTAATTTAAAATAATTAGTGTGTATGATTTCTAAAAATATTAAGATGTTTTATTGTATCCATCATCATTATTTATTATATATATATATATATATATATATATATATATATATATATATATATATGTGTGTATATTTGTTTTAGTTGTAGTTTGTTTTGATGTCCATTCTGCTCAGGCAGGAAGCACCAACACCAAACCAACTTCATCGTCATCAGCGTCGATGAAATACTAAAGCGCGCCTTCCGTCTGCTACACAGGTACGTTGTAGTTACATAAAGAAACATAAATAGGTTTTGTTTAACAACAACAATAACAGGAGCATGTCGAGAGTTTACTCTTAGTGTTATCTTTGCTTTAGCAGACGAGTCATAAGTTTTATCGGTCTCGACTGTCGCTAAATCAACTGAATTTCTAGCTAAAATCGACCAACGTTTGCTCCGATCAAAGATGAAACCGACGGAGGCGAGATGGTAGATGTTCAGTACTTCCGTGTTCGTTTCTGCCGGTTGCTCGACCAACGTTTGCATCTCGTTTAGCTTGTAGTTTACAGAGATTTGTAGTCTTTTAACGTAAAAGCTGTTTTATGAAATATGAATATTAAACACGGACTATTTTGTAGTTATGTACGTACTCTTTAGAATTATGTAAAAGTTATAATGTTTTTTAAAGTAATGTATTATGTACTACTTTGTGTGGCATTCACGTGCTCCTCAGATGCTCGGAGTTTCCACTTTCCAACGTCTTCCCGTTGTTTTGATATTCAGAACTTGAGTAAATCTGATTTTAAATGAGCAGCCTTTATAACCTGTAACACGTAACACGTTGATTTAATATCGGTGAAAGTTCTTGACATCATTAAAAAGTATTCGAGGGGAATGTGATCCAAATCCAGAAGGTAAATCGTTTATCCGATTGGCCGTAAACATCACGCGAATTTCTTGAAAGTGAGCTAGAGTGGCGGATTACTATCTTGACTTGTCCATCATCTTTGGCTCAATTTGAGTAAAACGGCTATGGTTAGTTCACGTTTCAAATAAAATCAAAACAATTAAATACAGAGAGATTATAAACATTCAGTCACCGAAAGGCACGTTGTTTACGTTGGATTGTGCACTTGAACGCAGCTCATCCACACAAACGGTGAGCTTAGCTGACTTCCGGTCAAGATGAAGAGAGCAAGAGGCGCCGGGGATGACGAGCAGCCTCCCCGGCAGAATGGCTCCACCAGCCGGAGGAAAGGCGACCCAGAACCGGCCAGTAACGGGGACGGAGGTGAGTCGGCCTTCGACCCCGGGACCTCCAGGATGAGGACAACGACCCGGGACTGAGGAGGGAAATCCGGAGCAAATACAGAGACCTCATCAACACAATACAACGTGAGTAAGAGGGGCAGAGGGGGAGCTGATGTTTTTGTTTTTGTTTATTTGTTGACAAATATTTCCTTCCTGTGTTTACAGAAAACAGAGAGGACATGGTGAGTCTCTCCAACAACAAGCTCACTGAAGTTTTAGAAGAGGCAAACAAACTTTTTAAAGATGGTAAGAGTCAAACAAGTTCTTCTACGTTTACATTCACACCAGATTCATATTAAGGTCCATATTCTGAAAAAGGTGTTTGAATGCTCCGCAGAGTGCTGATCTACTGGAATATTCCCGTTTACATGTTAATCAGCATATTCTGAATAAAGCGTAGCAGCGTTCTTTTCACACGCACTGTGTTGTAATGTTCTCATCACTTCTCCATCAAAGTGTGACTGGAACACTCGTTCTCATTCACCTCCTCAACCGTGGCCGACGAGAACGCAAAAGGAAATGGTAAACAGAGCTCTACGCGTTACGCAATGTTTACCAACCAGAGCCCCGCGGAGACTCACAGCCAGGACTGCTGGGAGCGAGTAGTAGTTGTAGTAGTTGTTGTAGTTGTTGTAGTAGTTGTAGTAGTTGTAGTAGTTGTAGTAAATTTGTCTCCTCCTCGGCCCAAAGGTGTAAAGTCTTTTTGGTGTTTCATGTTGAACATGCACAGAAGTAAACAGATCCTTGAAGGAGCATATTCGAGAGCATATTGCGACTAACCCAACATTCAGGTTGATACAGACAGATGTCAGGGGGCTTATTCAGGTTTATAATAATCGGAAAATGAGCTTAATCGGGTTATGACAATTGGAATAAGGTGTTTACATGACTCCTACTCAATCAGAACATTGTCATTATTCCGATTAATGCAGGAATATGATGTGCATGTAAACGTAGTCAATGATCGATAAAAACACTTAAGCCTGATGATTTCCGGAAAACTGTAACACCTTTATGTTTGCATAATTAGATTTTGTCAAACATCTTGTTGACAGACGATGTTTCTTAGTACATGTTGAAACCAGAGGAGCGGCTCATTTCTGAATGGCGTACAGTCGTCTTCATCGTGCAGCTGCAACATCTTCCTCTCTCTGATTTTCTCGGCAGTGCGGCAGGCGAGAGAAGCGGCGCTGGATGCTCAGCTCCTCGTCGTGGCCACAGACCTCGGGAAGGAGAAAGCCAGCATGCTGTTTTCGGAGGGCACAGCATTCGATCCCGCTGTTTACGCTGAGCACCTTGTGAGAGAGATCACGTTGTCTGTAACGAGCGTTTGAAGGCTTGTGGCTTTGCACAGATTGTAAAGAGGCTCTCTCTGTTTTCTCTCACAGTTATCCTTCATGGGTCTGAACCGGCTTGAAGACGTGGATGACGAGCAGCAGAACGGCGGTGTCGATGGATACCTGCCTCAGGACGCCTGGCACAGACTCTCCAGGAGAGCAGAGTGCTGTTTCAGGACGGCACCCTCCTTCCACTTCATGTGAGTGCGTCAATGTGTCGTCATGGTTTCTGCCTGCCTGTTAGGACGCGGTGTACGACATGATGTGACATAAAGAGCTTACTAAAGACTCTCTAAGGGTCAGCAGGAACCCGGTCATGTTAGCTGTGATGCTTTCATGAAGCAGAAGCAGACCCATCATTTTTCACTTTCCGCACAGTGTTTATCTCTCAGTCTCAGCTGAAGAAATAATTAAATGTTTTTAGCTCTTTTGAATAAGTTGTCTGTTACTTTGTCAGCCAAGTTTTTACCTTCAAGCTGCACCAAACATTTGATTTCTGGTTGATCCATAAATGGTGACATTAAATTATAAAAACATTTTTTTTACTGTTCTAGGTTGATTATTATTTAACTCTGTATCTATTTGCATACTATCTTATTGCATCTTTGGGTTTCTGGATTTGATTGCTGCTGCAGCTCATCTGGGTTTTCTTTTTGTCTTTTTTTCTTCCTTTCAGGAGGGGCTCGTTCCACGCCGAGCCGCCTCCCCCAAAGCAAAGGATAGAGCGGCAGAGAAAGGCACCGGGCAAGGAGGCTAAGAGAATCATGCCGACGCAGGTAGATGACATCACACTCTCATGGCTCTTCATCTCTCTGCTGACACACTCTGAGTCTGATCATTAATCAACATGATGTATCACCCCCTGTTTATCTTTCAAACATATCTAGTTGCTTTTGAAATAACAGAAAACAGATGATGTAATGACGTCGGTGTGTTCACTCTCAGCTGAAGAAGATGGAGGACTCTCATCAGGACGCGACGGTGATAGAAGTGGAAAGGATCCTGGCTTACCTGAAGGATTATCACCAAGCCGACCGTGAGTTTTAAAGTTGACGTCTTGGACTTCAACAGTTTAACATCGTGTTAGTATTCTTATTATTAACAGTTAATATAAGAACTGCTCAGTCCATCAACAACTTCAAACCTTTACTTACAGCTCACCTCTTTCCTCTGGCTTTTCAAACAATTTGAGCGTGACATTTTGAAGTTTTATTCATGCTCCTATTTATTGTGTTTTTATTGTGTTTCATTCTATATGTTATTTTATGTGTTTGTGTTTCTTCCACAGCGACGATCCCGATATTGTATTACGAGTTCGTCATCGACCCCAACTCCTTCTCCCGGACGGTGGAGAACATCTTCCACACGTCTTTTCTCGTCAGGGTGAGTCAATGCACAGTGTGTTACCATGACGACAGAATCTAAAACTTTTATATGATACAGGTTAAAAATAGATTCATATTTTAATGCTACGTGTAGTTGAAGAGAATCTCAATGTGAACTAAAGAGAGGAGAAGAACATCCAGGAGAACAGGAAACATGCAGCAGCAGGTTGATTAGAGCACAGAGGTGTGCAAAGGTGTGCAGACAGTCTATGATCGTGCAGCGATCACGGGGAATAAAGGTCACCACCCCCTCCCACTGGCTCCTCCCACTGGCTCCAGGTGAATTCTCCTGATTATATCCTGCTGTGTTCTCACATCAGCTCACTCTGACTTTCTGCAGAATAAACACGAGGAGGCTGGAGGAGAAACTCCGGGTGAAGTCAGAGAGAAAAAATTAATCTGTTTACGTTCACACATGACGCTCAGCATGGAAATATCAGGATTTCTTTTTTAGTTTTCTGCATGTGTGAAAGCTTAATTGATCACTTGCCTTGAAAAGTCTTAACAGGTGTCTTACAGCAGAGTCGTCTCACAGAATCCTCTTAGAGAAATGATTATAGCAGAGATGCTGCACGCTTGAGAAAGAAACATAAGAGAAAGGACTTTGAGATGCAAAGGTGGAGAGTATATTCCACTCTTTGGGGCATTTTTCAGGTGGGACATTAATTGAAGGGAATAGATTTAGCACCGTCATCCACTGAAGCTAATCCACTGTGTAAGCTAAAGAACCTCATAATCATACAACCCCGACTCCAAAAAGACTGAAGAGCTGCCCTCTAGTGGCGGTCAGCAGGTATTACAGTGCTGTTTGTGTTGCAGGACGGATTGGCCCGGATGTATCTGGATGAAGCCAAATTACCGTCTATAGGTGAGGATACTGTTTGTGTGTGTTTGTTTGTTTTTTCTTAAAAGAGAAAAAGTCTTAAATCCAATTATTGATCCACCATTGTTGTTTTGTTTGTGTCTCAGCGCCTGTGGAGGAGGACGAGGTGGAAGCTGGAGGATCGTGCGCCCGTAAACAGGGCCTCGTCTCAATCAACCAAAAGATCTGGAAGGTGAGCAGAACGCAGACGACGACTTCATCGACTAAACCGACAACAGAACGGTCTTCATGTGCGTAATGAATGTCTTTTCATCTTTCTCCCAGGAGCTCATCAACGCCTTCGAGATCACACAGGCGATGATTCAGCCTCCCAGCATGCAGGACGAGTGAAGATCCCGTCGCGCACAAGTTGTTTTTAAAAGGTGTAACCCTGTTTATTTTATGTGAATGACATGTCCGAACTGTTGGAAACACGAAAAAGCGATGTCCAACTTCGAATGCAGAATGTTGAGTGATTCAGATTTTAAATTAATTTTTTTTTACTGTTTTTAAAAGTTTAAATAATAAAAGAAAACAAAGAGGAATGGGTGTTGTTTCCATTATTTTTTCTGATATGAGGCGACGCCAGCGAGCTTGTTCAGGCTGTCACCTCGAGCTGCACATGTGTCATTCTCAACACTCACCTGACGACACCTGCTTCAAATGTTTATAAAGACCGAGGTTTCCTCCTGAGATGTCGAGCAGTAGAATTTTAAAGATGCAGAAATTAAAATATTTGGGTAAAAACAAGCAACAACCTCCAGTGTTGAAAAATGAAGCCAATGAAGCAGAAGTGTAAAATCCTGCAGTTCCTTGAGTGTCCACTAGAGGCTGGCTGCAGAAGTACAGGAAGTCACATACACACCCATTCTAAAAAGCCTGTTTTTACAGCAGAGATGAACATGTTTACAGCCTGGTTCAAAAAACCAAATAGGTGTGATTAGCTCATGTCTCGATGGACACACACTGTACGGGGGGTGAATGTTTTGATGACTCATCAGTTTTGATTTGATGAAGGATAAGAGTTATTCACAATAAGGCGTGTAGCTGACCTGATTGACAGGTGGGCGCGGTGTAACGGTTTGTCAGGAGGTTTAAAACCCGCCTCAGCTCCAGCTCTCAGCCTGTCGTTAGGTTGACTCAAAGTTAGACTGAGACAGCATTTCCAGCTGGAGACCGCCATCGATGGGACTCCAGCGCCCCCTGCAGGAACAGACGGGGACGTCACTCAGGCCTCCTGCATAAATATTTTACAGTCTGTGGTGAGAGAGCAAATGCATCAGATTCATTAAACCACATTCACCTGACAAGTCCAGAGAAACGTCTTACTTCAAGATATTAAAAACTTTTTTTCTTTCTTTTCATCAGACTTATTGTGATAAATAAAATTCATGATGGAGGTGATAGATGACATGGAAGGATCTCCTTTAAGAGAGCCCTCCTGCAAATCTCGTCTTGCATGATGCTCCTAAATATAGAGCAGATCATTTTACAGCAGTTTTCATGATTTGTTTACTCCTGAGTTATAATGACAAACAAATAGAGGGAATTTAAATTGTGATGTTTCTGCTCCTGTAAACGTATTAAAAACAAATCACACAGAATGATTCATCATGTCATCATCGGCTCAGTGAACGCCACCAAAATCGCTGGCTGAACACGGCCGTATCATCGTGATGTACCACCATCATCTGCTCTCCTCCTGGGTCTTTAAAGAGACAGGCACCCTTTTTTCCTTGCTGCCTCCCCCCCCTCCTTGAGCATTTTTTTCCCCTCTGAAGCAGAGCTGGGTGGATATATGAGGCAGCAAAGGGAAGGAAGAGAAGCTCCCCTGTTTTTCACGCTTGTTTTATTAGCTTGGACTGCTTATGTAATCTAGATTTTTTTTTTTTATATAACAAATGCCTTAAAAATGTATGTCACAGGAGCACCACTGGCATTCATTAGTCACTGATGCACACTCTGGCTCGGACACAGAGGCGTGCACACTCTCACTCTGTTGCTCCGGCGACAGATCTGCCGATGCTCCGGCGATGCTGAGTCTGACTGAGGAGGATGCAGTTCTGCAGGAAGGTGCTCTGCAAGCCCTGTAGTGCCCGAGTCACTTCACCGGAGGAGGACATGGAATACAAGATGGGGAGCTGCATAGGAATCTCACATCGACAGGTAAACACAGGATGCAGCAGAGCATCAGTGCATGAACGAGTGAGTGAGTGAGGATGAATTTCACTGGTCGAGTGCTTTCCCAGGCAGAGGCAGAGAGAGAGAGAGAAGGTGTACTTTATTGTTGGAGGAGGGGCAACACCAGCAAGGGAAAAAGAGCTGTGGAGATGCAGAGTGAGGGGTGAGGGAGGGGAGGAGTGTAGGGATGCTGATTGTTGTGGAGGAAGATGGGAAGTGAGGTTAACAAAACCCAGGAAGAAGAAGACGGTGTGCATGCATTCAAATTGAGTCACACAAAAGACTGAGAGTGGAAGGGAGCGACTGTCTGCAGAGCTGATCAAATCAGTGTTATTTATAGATATCATAATAATAAGCCTGCTGTGCTCACAGACCAGGCACTCAGCTGAAGATGGCCTGTGATGACTGCAGATAAAAAAAAGGGATCCAAAATACATTTCAAACCCTCTGAAGTCGATTTCTCTCAAATTTGACTCCTCGATTCGGGGTTGCTTTGTTATTCTTGCCAATGGTTGCTCTGTTGCAGCAGATGAATGATGTGTGTTGCCATTTTCTAAACACAATAGTCATTGCCAATTTCATGCAGACTCAGAGACATTGAGCAAACATTGCCACATCATGGAAATTGAGAGGGTGAACACATGCAGAAGGTTTGCAGAGCGAGCCACAGGTGGGATGAATATTACATCACAGAGAAGAAAAGAAAGGAACAGAGGCAACGCAAATGGATTAACATTGGAAAAGAAAAGCATCAGATATTTAAAACTATGAGGAACAGAAGATACAGTTATATAGTTAAACTTTGAGGGGAAAAAAAACAGAATTAAAACAATTAAGAGAGAGTGTAAATAATGGTTGAGAATGATGTATTTACATAGTTTTTTTTAATTTATGTGGTTGTAACAACACCGGATTTTTAAACAGTGATGCGTTACGAGTAGAAATCTAACAATATTGAGTCCTGTTTGGATAAAACAGTAAAAAAAATACAATAACGTACATAAAAAAGAACTAAAGACAAAGATGAAGAAAGTATAGAAGAGAAAACAATCAAAGGCAAAGAAGAAATGATGCACAGAGGTCTGACGTTATTGATTGACACTTGGGGGGCAGTAGCTCAGTGAGTACAGACTTGGGTTGGGAACTGGAGGGACACCGGTTCAAGTCCCAGTACGGACTGAAGTGTGGAAGTTTGTCTTGTGGCTGGAGAGGTGACAGGTCTCCTCCCGAGGACTGCAGAGGTTTAAAACAATCCAACTCTGACATCTCTCCACTAATGCATGACCCTGTGTGTGTGTGTGTGTGACTCTTAATAACAGAGAGCAAACCTGAATTTCACCTAAAAAAAAAAACTTGCAGCAGCACTTTAAAATCTATTCCTCAAGAAACTAGAAACCACTTTAAACATTATTGAACTTGGAAGCAAGTTTCTCTTTTTTTTTCTTCTTCCCTGTTGCCAAATACGATGATTCCTCTCTTCACTTAAGGTGACCAGTCTGACGCAGACCTGTTTGTTTACAGTGTTGCCTATGAACCTGCGTCCCCTCCAAAGGCCTCCAGTCAGAGCAGGTGACCCCCCCCCCCAAACACAGTCCATCAAGTAGCACCCAAATCAGACATGGCTCCCCCAGCTCCAGTTCAGTCTCCTCCCCCTCCTCTTTCCCTCCCATTGCCCCCCGTCTCCCACTCCTGCCCCCCTGTCCTGTCCTGTCCTGTCCTGTGTCCACCCTCCGTCCTCTCCTCCCACTCTGCGTGCGATTCAAAAATAGCAGCAGAGGCACCTCAGCAGGAGAGAGAGGACAGAAACAAAAAGAAGTCGGAGAGTAAACACAGACTGAGGTCAGACTCTGAGCGAGGAGAAGTCTTGTTGTTTGAAGAGGTGAGTCGTTTATGAGCTGCTGCAGCACCGCTGTAGAATCTGTTTGTCTGTTTGTTTGGTTTGTAGTAGGGACTGTAGGTAAAAGGTAGGGAGCGTTTCAGCCAGCTGTGAAGTTGTGTTTCCTTCTCTGAAGTTTGATTTCTGTAGTTTCCTTTGAGACGTTGATGTCTTATAAGAACTTTATCTGCTGCACTGTTCCACCTGATATCCTCTGTAGGTTCAATTCAATACGCTTTATTTGCATTATGGTAATACAGGACCAATGATAATAGGATGCAAAATAAGATAAGATAAGATCATCTTGTATTGAGGTTTGGAAATGACAGTACGTTTTTATGATTTTACTCCTACTTCCTGTTCACGGAAAACACAGGAAAAAATAAAATAGCAGGTATGATTCATGAAACAATGTGGAAAAAGAGTTAACACCTAGGATCACTCTGTGGTGATATATGACTGATTTGCGTGTGTGTGTGTGTGTGTGTGTGTGTGTATGTGTGTGTGTGTGTGTGTGTGTGTGTGTGTGTGTGTGTGTGTTGTGTGTGTGTGGTGTGTGTGTGTGTGTGTGTGTGTGTGTGTGTGTGTGTGTGTGTGTGTGTGTGTGTAAGATGATTCAAGGTCCTACAGTGTGTGGAAGTTCATGTGTGTGTTTAACTTCTTCAGCAGACCCTCCATCACAGAAAGTAACATTAACTTTAAAATTATTTATAAAAAAATCAAAAACCTTTGTAGGTTAACAATAACAAAATTACTTGATTGCATATATAACCAATTCTCTAATGTTTTGTAAAAAATACTCATTAAGCTTTTTACAAATGTAGCTTCTGTTAAAAAAAATTAAATGAAAGAGAAGCCGAAAATTTTACTGACAAATTTAAACACAAATATACAACTAACCATAAGCAACACTCTGACGTCACGTCCAACAACAACATCTGTCCACTGAAGTCAAGTCACCACAGCTCAGGCTTCCTCACACGATCACTGAGTGACACACAGACCCTTTCTCAATATCCACAGTTCAGTAGGCAGTACGTACTATTCAGTATGGAGTTTCAGTATACTGAACTTTTCAGTACGGATACTAACTTCCTGGTTTCATGCAGTATAGATCAGATGCGTGCTTTCAGGAAATGAATTGTATTTTACCCACAATGCTGTGCGAAATTAAACGTAAATCGTCACGTCACGTCACCTCCAAATCAAAACAAACGAGCGTGGATTCATTTAATAAATTTTTAATCTACAGTTAAAGTCTCGACTGAAATCACTACTTTAAATTAACAACAGAAAATAAAACAAATATCTGCATTATTATAAAACCTTTCCCCCTCTATTTAAATAATGAGTTCACTATTTAAATAATGATTTCACTATTTAAATAATGAGTTCACTATTTAAATAATGAGTTCACTATTTAAATAATGAGTTCACTATTTAAATAATGAGTTCACTATTTAAATGTGTCTTTATTGGTTTATTTTA